CAGGGCTCAAACCAAACAGCAGGCCTGGCAGACCTCCGCCCAGCTTCATCAGAGCGGATTTTTATAGATTTCTGTCGATGGCTTCAAATACCATTCTTTTTATTTACATTATGAGTTGGGAGTTTAAAAAATCCACTCTTCACCGCTCAACACCACTTCTCAATTTAATCACTATTACAATCGATTCAAAATTAATTTTCACCTACTTTTCATCCTACTCTCTCACCAGAATCACAGCATCAGAGAATCAAGAAGTACTTTCACAAAACATGAGGCTCTTTGAATCTGATCCAAACTTCAGATCACTTTAGAGCTCCGTGCTTCAAACAGAAGGTCTGAAAGTGTTGTTTAAAGTTTGCCAACCTCATAACAAATTTAGACCACACAAGCTAAAGTTGTTCCACGAGATCATATGCCTTGTGACCAGACGATCAGAACGTTCTTATAGATCATTGGTGTCCAGCAAACAAAAACAAAGGCAAGTACTATTTCACCTCTCCTCTCTCTTTTCACGTAGACTCTGTTACATACCTCAGCTATATTTAAATTTTAGATTTGTTAGGCAGTTAGGGGCGTGCTTTGAGTTTTTCCTCTCCTGTAATTATTGTTCACATCTCCCGCCGAATAGTATTTTTCTCTCACAACAATCAATTCGAATAAAGATTTTTCACCCCACCGATCAGGCCCTAGGCTTCGAGCCTGTTTGCGTGAACTTATCAACCGACTTATCAACTAAATCTATAATATTTTTCTTTCACAATAAAAACAGCTGCAATCGGCTTTAATGCCAGCCTAAACATGCCTTTCGTTTGGTTCTACCCAACTAATACTTGGTCTCTGAATATTAGCTCCGATAGATTTGAATAGACATAGCTAATTATACCTGGACGCCTAGCTAACATTTGTCTCGCTGTCTATCCGAACAAAGTTAGGGCCTGTTTGGTTTCTTCCCCTTCTCTTAAAATTTATGTCACATCAAATGTTTGATACATGCATAGAGTATAGACTAATTACGTAAATTTGAATAGACACGAAGCCTAATTAGTTATTTTACCTGGACGCCTAGCTAACATGTGCTAATAATAGATTTGTCGGAAATTAGCCTCTATCTATGTAATTGATTTTGTAATTGATTTATATTTAATACTCTTTATTAGCCTCTAAATATTTGATTTGACATAAATTTTAGGAGCGCCTAAAGAACAAAACACCCCCTTAATACTAGCAACAAATAGAATGTAAAATGATAGTTTTACCCTCCCACCTACCTCTATTCATGCGCCTTACCAATAATAAGCCTTGTTTAGTTCCCACTTCAAAACTTTACATCCCGTCACATCAAATATTTAACAAATGCATAGAGTATTAAATATAGACTAAAAAATAACTAATTACACAGTTTACGACTAATTTACAAGACAAATATTTTAAGCCTAATTAGCTCATAATTTGACAATAAAGTGCTACAGACACACATATGCTAATGACGGATTGATTAGGCTTAATAAATTCGTCTCGTGGTTTACTGACGGATTATGTAATTTGTTTTTTTTATATCCGAACACCCCATACGACACCTTCATGTAACGGCCCGTTTTGTCTGAAACTTGGCTGAAAAATATTGTTCCGGCCGGTTTGTTGTGAGAGAAAAATACTGTAGCGACTGAAACTGGTTGAATCTCCAGATGAAAACCAGCCGGCTGGTTCGCTGGAACCAGACCAACGAACAAAACCAACATTCGATGTGACATCCAAAAACTTTACAGACTAGATCTAAACAAGGCCTAAATAGAAAAAAGAAGGACATTATAGAGAGAGAGAAACCACCAATGCGTCTATTCATGCCCCCTGCCAGTAACAAATAGAAATGGAAAGACATTATAGAGAGAATAAACCACCAATGCATCTACCTTACCTTTTAGTAAGTAGATCTAAACCGCACCAAGCTAATAGATAGCCAACAAATAGTTAGATTGCTAATATTAGCTGCTATGTGAACCAGCTAACTATTGGATGCTATTGGATCCAAGAAGGGTCTTATGTGGCTGTTTTAACTAGCAGATCCAAACACCACCAAGCTAATAGATAGCTAAAATATTAGCTGGTGGAGTTCTGTATTAACCAACTAACTATTAGGTGATATTGGATCGTCTTAGCGAGAGACAACCAAGTAATAGCTAATTGCTAGCTGGCGACAAATAATTAGACAACTAGCTAACAACTAATTGTTTGCTAACTAGGAATTGCTTTAAATTATAAGTCATTTGGCTTTTTTTGATACATAACCTTTGCAACGCATCTAGACATAGCATATATGTAGATGCATAACAAAAACTTTGTACTAAAAAAACAAAAACAACTTATAATTTGGAACGAAAGGAGTAATTGTTCGCTAGGCGGCAGATAAGCACTAGTATAACTATTAGGTAGACATCAAATATAATCTCAACCTATTTTAGCTGCTAATCTTACCAAGTACTCCATTCGTCCTAAAATATACGTCGTTTTCGCTTCCCTAGAAACAACTTTAACAAAATACTCCTTCCGTCCCACAAACATGTAAATCTTGCTTTTCAACGCCACATTAGTAAAGATGTGAAATTACGGATGTGCCCCTGCCGTCTTCTTCTCAACACACACCTGAAACTCAAAAGAACCGTGTACAATCTTCACTTGAAGTGCAAAGTTAACATGATTTTTCAATTGCATGTGTATTTATTTATTGGTGGGTCCCACCATAAAGCTTATCTCCAACCTAGATTTACATGTTTTTAGAGACAAGATTTAAACCACAGGATCACATGTTTTATGGGACAGAGGGAGTATATATTAAAAATATGTATATTTATGGTACATAATTGGTATCATTGAAAAGATCTTTGAATTTTGTTTTTTAATAAATTTATTTGAAAATACAAATGTTGTATGTATTTTCTATAAATCGAGTTAAACTTACGGTACGGAAACAAAAACGATAGATAATTTGAAACGAAGAGAGCGGTAAAAGCGTCCACACCAAAAATCTGAACCACTTGGAAGTTTCTTTAGCCTAGGCCTGGTTTAGATTAAAAAAAATTTCAACACGATGAATAGTAGCACTTTCGTCTTATTTGGTAAATATTGTCCAATCGTGGAATAACTAAGCTCAAAAGATTCATCTCGTGATTTCCAACTAAACTGTGCAATTAGTTATTTTTTTTACCTACATTTAATGCTCCATGCAAACGGCTAAAAATTGATGTGATGGAGAAAGAGTGAAAAAACTTGGAATTTTGAGGGCATCTAAACAAGGCCCTAGTAGTGAAAGCATCCAACAGTGTCATACAGTAGTACACAAAAAAAATTCTGATTACGCGCAGCATAAAAGTGTCCACACAAAAAATCTGCACTTGTTCGTTTGACATATTAGCCATGCTTATCAGATATAATACAGTATTTTTCTCTCATAATAAAACAACGTCAGCCACTTTATAAGAAAAAAAACGATCAAACGAATATGGCGCTGATTACGCGCCGCATATAAAAGTGCCCGCACCGCAGGACAGGATAGCAAGGCACCTGGCCTTTTTTAGATTGTAAGTTTTTTTATTTTCTATCACATCAATTTTTTACACATGTATATAGAATATTAAATATAAATAAAAATAATAATTAAATATATAGTTTAATTATAAATTATAATACGAATTTTTAAATCTAATTAAATTATAATTGAATAATAATTATTAAATACAAACGAAAGTGGTACGGTGCCTAACAACGCCTTAGCCTATAAACCGTACTACTACTCGTCCATCCACTGCAACAGGATAACCTGTCAAAGCAGATGTGCGCGCTCCTCCATCATCAGCAAGTGTTTTTTTTTTCCCCAAACGTTAGCCAAACTGGAATCAAGCAGTAGGCAAAATCTCCATCAACTAGTAATAAGTAAATGTTTTTTTTGCCAAACAGGAATCAAGCAGTAGGCAAAATCTTTTTAATCTCCTCCACAGCCAGCTTATGATGTTTCTCAAAGCAGGTAGAACATGAACATGATGGCTGCTATTGGGCCTGTTCACCGGTTGGTTCTGGTTTAGGCTGGTTTTTTTAAGAGAAAAATATTATTGGCTGACTGATTTAGGCTGGCTAAAACCAACGAGCGAAAGCTGATTGAAAATACAGTTACCACTTCTTGGCGGGACAAATCAGACACAGGATAACAATTAGTGGCACTAATAGCAGGAGCAGGGCCAATCAGACACAAGATGACAAGATCAGGCAGCAATGGGGGAACTGACACCAGTGTCTCCCGCAGCGGCAGAAAAGCTTTTCTCCTTTCTCACTCGCTGCAAAGCATCATGCCATCATCACATCCATCCACAACAAACAGATGAGTACTGCTAGCTGCAAAGCATCATGCCATCATCATCACATCCATCCACAACAAACAGATGAGTACTGCTAGCAGGTGCCAGCAACAGAACCGTAGTACCACAAGCGCATTGCCGATGCACATATGCACATAATAATCAAATCACGCAGACTGAAGCATAATCGTAATCAAATCAAGCTCAGGCAGGCAGTAACAAGCACAAGGATTAATCGTAATCAAATCAAGCTCAGGCAGGCAGTAACAAGCACAAGGATTAATCTGGGATAATAATCATCTCATCTCCTTCCACAGTCTGGAAGAACAAACCACAAAAAAGAGGCAGATTTGACATCCCCTCAGGCAACACAAGGACCAATCCATCTCACTTCTCAATTCTTCTTAAAACCTTAACGACGACTGACAACGAGACCAAGCACACTCGATGATAACTTACTTGAGTTCCCCTACGAACCAAACGAACCCAAGAACAGGGGAAAAAATCTGAAAACGACAGACGGACGGACTGACGCACTCCTCTGCAGGGTGGGAGGAGGAGGCGGCGGGCGCTCATGGACGCCCGGATCGGCAAAACTAAAGCGATACTCCAAGACACAGTGAGAGGTTCTTTCTTTGGCGAGATCTAGAGCCATCAGACCAGCAGTTGGTGGAGCGATCCGATCTGATCTGGCCGGACGGGACCGGGACCCACCTCACGTGGGGCAGTCGCGGGCGATGTGGCCGGCCTCGCCGCAGTTGTAGCAGGAGCGGTCGCCGCCGCCGCCGCCACCGCCGCCGCCGCCGCCGAACCTCCTCCTCCTCCGCCGCCGCTGGGGCAGTCCCTGGCCATGTGGCCGGTCTGGCCGCAGTTGTAGCAGGCGCCGCCGCCGCCACCACCGTAGCCGCCACCGCCGCCACCACCACCGTAGCCGCCACCGCCGCCGCCGTAGCCACCTCCGCCGCTGGGGCAGTCCCTGGCCATGTGGCCTTGCTCGCCGCACTTGAAGCAGCCGCCTCCGCCACCTCCGTAGCCGCCGCCACCGCCACCGTAGCCTCCACCGCCGCCGTCGGCGCTGGGGCAGTCCCTAGCCATGTGACCAGGCTCGCCACACTTGTAGCAGGCGCCGGCGCCGCCTCCACCGCCGGATCTCCGGCCGCCGCCCCAGCTACCGCCATAGCTGCGGCCGCCGCCGCCAGATCCACCCCCGCCGCGGGAGCCGTAGCCTCCCCCGCCGCCTCCGCCTCCGCCTCCGCCGCTCCCGCCCTTGACGTAGGATCCGTCGGGGCCGGTCACGTCGACGGCCTTGGTGCGGCCGTCGTCGCCCTCCGAGACGGAGAACTCCACCTCCTCGCCCTCGGCGAGGGAGCGGAAGCCCTCCGACTTGATCGACGACTGGTGTACGAACAGGTCCTCGCTGCCGTCCTCGGGCGAGATGAAGCCGAAGCCCTTGGTGTCGTTGAACCACTTCACCGTCCCCCTCTGCCGCGCCGCCGTCGCCATCGCAACCCCCGAACCCTAGCTGCTGCTGCTGCCTAGGGTTGGGTTTTTTTTTTCTTCCTTCTTCCCCCGGCTCCGCTCCGATCTTATCTACTCGGGCCGTGGACTGGGCAAGAGGTACTTATAGAAAGAGGGCGGCGCATACGAGGAAGGCGCGGGAGGATCGGACGGCTGAGATGGCTCGGGGGACGTGCGCGGACGATCGGGCCGGGGCGGGCGGCAGCGGCAGCTAGGGGTGGGGTGGGCCAAGCTTGGGAGTCTCACGTGTGGCGTGGGCCCGCATGGCAGGGGCGGTCGGGGGAGAGGAAGGCAGCGCCAGGGAGGCGGAGGCAGCCGCGCTGTTGGTTTTCTGTGGGTTATGACGGGTGGGGCACGGTTCGATCCGGTATACACGGGCGTGAATGGCCCCTCGTGCTCCTCCTCGTGATTGGTGAACTCCATTTTGTTTATACTACTAGTGGTACTATGGTTTGATTCTTTGTGGCTTGTTGTTTTTGTCGTGTCGAGAGAATTTTTTTGTAAAACTTTATTGTTTGTTTTGATGGTAATAATACGATTATGGAGGGAGGGAACCTTTTATATAGATTACAGTTTGGTTTGATGATGATTTTAACCTCCCAATTTAGAAAGAAACCGAATTTCAGAAAGGATTGATGAATAAAAAGGGAGGAGATGAGAATGTGATTTGGACTAAGAAAATAAAAATTAAGGACATGTTACGAATGTTAGGCGGGGTTAAAGTTGGCTAAAAGATTAGTTCATCTATTAGTGCTCCTATTTCCAAAAAAATATCTTAAAAGCACAATGATACATGACTCAAACATCAACCACATAAAGCCAACCAGAACAACAAGTAACCTATAAATATGTAACGCCTACAAGGAGGATGCAAGGTCAGAGATCCTACATCATCTATCTCTAGTAGAACTACATCATCTGTCTAGTAGAACTGGGACATGAGTCCGCACCCGGTGGTCCCTCGTTGGTGCGGGAGAGTACTACGACAATTCATCGTCAACAACAACTAGACACACAATCGAACAAGGGTTTTAACTATAACTCTCGCATTGACAGCAATCTTGCAGCCATGACCGCCAAACATCAAGCTAGCAACTATCGCACACACAACGTTGCTTGAACCCTTGGTGGATTGCACAAGGAGTGACGAACGAGGTGTGCCGTGTGAATGTGTTATAGATGCTCAAATCAAGTTTTATCTTAAATCAACGCTAACTATTCTTTGGAAAAAAAATTATCTATATTGGTCATGCCCAGGTCATGTCGCCAAATATTATGCATTGTGATACTTGACTTGGTTTATCTTCATTTGCTTTAACGATATTCCACAACATAAATGCATGCCATCTCAATGAGACCACATGTTTGCGTAAGACTGTGTCTCTTTTTCTTTCTATACCTTCACTTGCTATTTCAGCATAGTATCGACCATATACATGGCATATCATGCTTGTTTGACATACAATTTGAGCCTTGATGCATGACAATTTATCCTTAAGGATGTCACAAATGTATGATATAATCAATATCATGTTCAACATTTATCAAACATATTAGGCTTTTAATCGTGTTGTCATTCAATTCACTAAAGTGCACTAAAGTGCTAGATGTAATTTCAATACTCTATAGAAGGGAGGAGTAACTGAACTGTTGTTTTTATAAAAAAATACCTCTTATTTTTACTCTATAGAAGGGAGGAGTAGCTCAACTCTGCCTAGATAATAGTTAGTTGATAATACTTGTCAATTGGCACAAGAGTATTTCAGTTAATTTGCTATCAATTAGCTACTTTTGAGATACTAGCTAGCTAAGAGCATCTCCAAGACACTCTTTATACCTTCTCTAATTTAGAGGAATGGAGATTTTGGTGAAAAAATACCCTCCAACAACCTCTTCAATTAGATATCCAAATATAGATATCCTCTATTCCGGATTTCTCGCTAGCTAAAGATGGAGAGCGATGATGGCTCTATAGACTGCGCACAAGATATAGAAAAAGCTGTTGGAGAATACAAAAATATAGAAAATAATTTTTACTCAAATGACTCTTCAAACGATGATTTGGAGAGTAGATTTTAGAAAGGCTTTTAGAGATGTTATAACACTTTGCTAGTCTATTAGCTATAATTAGTTAGGTATCTTGCTGAAGGGCGGGCTTGGTGCAAGCGGTAGAGTCTTACCGCTAGTGATCGGAAGATCCCGGGTTCGAGTCGCGGTCTCCTCGTATTGCACAGGCGAGGGTAAGGCTTGCCACTGACACCCTTTCCCAGACCCCGCACAGAGCAGACTGGCGCCCTTTAGTTAGGTATCTTGCTAACAATTAGGTGATCTATTAGTTGGACAGTTTAGATCCACCACTAAATTGTAGCAACTATCTACTATTTGAGTAGATCTAAATAGACCCTAAGATGAATTTTGACAGAGCATATGAACGTTTAAACACATCCTAAGATGAATTTTTAAAGAGCATATGATGGGCCTGCAAATCTGGTTGGGCAACATTGCTATTACATAGTACACCATAATCGTACGATTACACTCTCCTCCATTCCAATGCGTTTTGATATGATCACATCCCAAAAAATCCAACTTTGAACATTGACGTGCCAATTCAGAATATCTGTCAAGATATCAGCAACCGAAGAAACTTGATTAGAGTTAGACACAGCCCTAGACATCGATTACTTCTGCCTGAACACTAGACCAAGTGATACCGTGCCTTCTCTCTCTCTCTCTCTCTCTTTAATCTTGACGAGTAGTTTCCAAGCGTGTAATTTCTTTCCCCAAGTGTGCAAATATTAGAACGGAAGGATCTTTTGACCATTAGCTGGGACGCTGATGGATACTCCTCAGCACACCATGTTTAGCTTGTCTATGCTTCCACATCATCACATAGGTCCTGTATACATCAGCACATAGGTCCTGTATACATCAGCTACCAAATACTACCAAACAGATAACAACAGCCAGAAAAATGGATACAAAAGCGACGTGCAACAAATATCAAACTACTTGCGGAAACATGCCCCTGTGAGCTAAGATGACACTTCTGTTTCGCCTCGAAAAACATTGAAGCTTCATGAGTCATCTAAACCGAAGATCCGAATCCACAGGTCATGCATGCAACCTTGAGCTCGCATCCTAGGAATCACGGGTTCAAATTTTAGCGGTACACAAAAACATCACATAGCATCAACAAAAAGGACAAAGATACCATACTTCGTACAGCTGACAGTTTTGGAGACTATTACATTAGCCACTGCTACCGGCCACAGGCATTGTACTACAAACATGTTCCAGAAACCCATAAATTTGAAGCAGTAGCAGTTCCATGCACTGCACGGTTCACTGAAGTTCAAAGCATTGACCTGAGTTGCCGTGCCATAATAACAAAAAAATCAACTGTAGAGGCAAAGGCAATGCAGTGTACCAGATATCCGGTCTGTACAGACCACTGATGTTCTATGTTGTCATCTACTCAGTGTCACTGAAACGGTTTACGGTGCGTGCCGCTGCAGGTCCTTTAAAGCAAGACTCCCATTGTTGCCATGTCAAGTCGTTCTCCAGATCCAAATAAGAAATAAAGCCAACACACAAGACATAATTTCTGGTATTTTCACAACCTTGCCATCACTGCACATGATGAAAAGATACGGGCAACAATGATTTCTACAGTGTAAGTGCGGGTTCCCATCACAGCTCAGCATCTTTGTTTGTGGCTCGTGGCTAAACTAATAAGCTATTGCTGTCTCATAATTCCATTTTGCACATTCCTTAGCGTCCAAAAGACCTATCCGTGCAGAGGCATCAAAGCTCATAATTAACAACCTATCGGACCTTACTGAGGCATTCCATCCTTAACGCGTCCTCCAACTGAGAGAATAATGATGAGAAAGTTCCTGCAGAAAAAAAAAGGAAAATGAGTGTCCTTGTCACCACGACATGTACCTTAATAGTAAGCAAGAGAGCCATCAGACAACATATCTGACACATCATACTGATGTTTGGATCAGAATTTCTGACTATGGTCTTGGTTCGTAAGCAAGTCCATTGGGATAACAGTAGTTACATGAGGTTAATGTAATATCTGTATCTATGCATATGCATATATAGTACACATGAACAGCACATTTTGTAGCAGTTTCAACTTTCATGAAACAAACACGAAAGAATTAGCCAGGAGATTATTTGATAACTCTTGGCTTGATTTGTAAGTTTCTCTCTACAACCTGAACAGTTGCATCCTCCACAACCAAGACAGTCGGTAACAGAAGAACTTTAAAACCAACATGTCATACGATCCGGATGTACAGGTTCTGCCTCCTACAGACCAACAGCCAATCTAGAAATGGTCCCTAAGATACCCTAGTGTCATTTATGTCTCCATCGTGAGATTAGCCACTAGCATCTGTCTAGAGCCAGTGACAAGCCTGTCAAGCCATATGCAAGAGCCAGCCAGACATCAGAACTACCACCGAGAACTATTCTTCAGGACCATTTTATCACTATCGGCCCAGCACAGCTCGGCAAAGTTGGACTAGGCACGCTACAGTAGTTGCATATGCCAGCCTGTAGATTTGGCGTTTATTGGTGCATCGAACTTTCAGTCTCGATGAACAGATTTCATTATAATAGGGAGCATATGACGTAGTAAAAGCATCGACGAACTAATACATAAGGAAGACACCATCCTAGACACCCAAGAGTTAATAGCATTACCAGAATGGATTTCAGATGTCATGTGTCATGAATGCAGAGTAGTAGTTCATTCAACTGTTCTATACAGTAGATGGAAAGGACATAAACAGCTCAACATGGAGGCACCATGCTATTTGAGATGGATTTGATAGGTGTAGTGGATACACATGAAAGTATGAAACTATTATGAGGACCAAGAGCATAAATGCATGTCATATCTTAAAGCAATCTGATAAAGGTGTTTCAGTATGATCATGTAATATGCCAATAGTCACATAAAGACCATGGGACTACCTGATAATGCTTTATTCAATAATGAACCTTTGATTAGGAGGGTCCCAGGAAATTGTTCAAACACCTACACGAGGAATTTGTTGATGTGTGACAATTATTTCAGAAAAGAAGGTTAACAAAGTATCAGAAACGCAATTTGCAGTCAACATACTGTAATACGAAATGATATTCCCTTGACAACACTTTGTAACTTTGCAGCGCTGTCTTCTAGAGAACCGGCAAAATCATCCCCATGCAATATTGCAGCCTCAATCTGCTCATCTGACAACGTGACCTAAAGAAATATTTCAAGCCAGTATTAACACGAGAACACAATGCATAAACACCATAGATCTCAAATAGATCAGTGTTTACATGTTTGTTACGATGAAATTTAAGAAGCTGAATTAGTGTCATACTAACAAAGAAACTTACATCGACCGAAAAGGACAACGGATCAGTTTTGCATGATAGATTAGAAGCTAGAAAGAAAGCCTCAGTTGATTTCAGAACTTGGAACGCACCATGTTCACGCCGAAGGCCCTTATTTCATTATGCCAAATATACATTTGGAAACAGAGGTTAGACAAAGTGCAAATATAGTATTAGAGTAGCAATGATTCTAACATAAACATAGCCACTTGAGAAACAGGTGAAGTAGCCACTCGAGAAACAGGTGAAGTAGACAGGAAGGTTTCTGAATGAAGTTAGTCAACAAGATTGCTTCAACCTTATTGCAAGGTTAACTAGGCAAATAAGTAAAACGATAAACAAAACAATCTGAACATCTCGACTATGCAAAGTTCGGATACCCAGAGCTTCACAGAACAGATATGAGCTGGAGTATAGTGCAGATATGAGCTGGAATTTTTTGTTTGGTTTGTTAACAAGACCCAGATGGGTAACTGGTCAGTTTGAATGACATAACATATGTAAAAAAAAAGGGCGTACCCAGTGCAGAGAGCTCCCGCTCTGTGCGGGGTCTAGGGAAGGGTGTCAGTGGCAAGCCTTACCTCGCCTGTGCAATGCGAGGAGATTGCGACTCGAACCCGGGACCTTCCAGTCACAGCGGTAAGACTCTACCGCATGCACCAGGCCCACCCTTCAATGACAGAACATATGTAAAGGGACAAAAGGTGAAATGATGCCAACCTGAAGCATAAAGGAATGGTGTTTTTTGCTGGAGCACTGGAGCTGAGGACCATTTTTCTTGGTCTTGGAGCAATGAATGACCAAGCAAGGCCCCATCTAGCTGTCTGACCTTGTACAAATTCAGTAGTTTTCACGACTGAGGCCCCAGCCGCACGAACCTTTGAGATCAATAACTTTAAGTTTGCCTTTCTGCCGATCATCGATGTAAACCACCTAAACAACAAAATAACAAAACCATCGTACAGATGAATACAAAAACATAACATGCATTACCATAGTGAGAAAAGCTTCGAATTACCTGAAAGAGTTCTTAAGGGAAACACTATCTTCAATGATTTGTGTAGCAAATGCCAGCTCGCCACCAGGGCAAACCATCTCTTCAGCTGTCCCGCCGCACGATGTTTTTGGGTTAAGACCAGCTTCCTCTATGCTCTCAAAGAATGGAGGATTGCACATACAGAAGTCAAAGCTCTCACTCTCGTTTACAACACCCACAAGGATATGTGGCTTTGGCATAGCTACATCCTCCGCAGGCTCTAGAATCTTCTCCCTGGCACCTTCCCTGACAACAGTTTCAGATTCAGAGGACGGGACGTTTGCATTTCTGATTTCAATTAGCTCTGCTAGGCGTGGATTGCTCTCCACGTTCTTCTTAGCCCATTCAAGAGCAACATTAGTGATGTCTACAAACAAAAGACAGTTACATAATTGATTGTATACATCTCTCTCATTTAACGAGACAATGATTCACAGAACTGAACACAAAGTGCAGAAGATAGAAAGGAATACCAGATCCAACAAATGTCCATCCCAGTAAAGATGCTCCAATGAGAGGGTAGATGCAATTGGCACCTGTTCCAATGTCAAAGCCCTTCACTCTCTCACTTGAGCTGGATATTGGTGGTATCAGATCTGAGGAGAGAAGATCCTCGATCCAGTGAATGTAGTTGGACCTGTTTGGAACAGTAGGGCAGAGCTGTCCATCTGGAATCCACCTAACAGTAGCTAAGATTAAAATCATGTTTAAACAATGGTCTACTGCATGAAAATCACCTCCAAAACATAGAGCGAACAGTGTGCGTGCTGCATAGATTTTGATGGATTTTTTTTAACTAAACCTTTCTTAATTTTTACAAAGATGTAATTTGTAAGAACAAAAGTTAATCTTACTGTGGCTATACAAGTATTTTGTACATCAAACAGTCCACCCTTTAAAAGCAGTAAGGAATATATTTACTAAAACGTCTAAGCACAAAAAATGTAATATAGTGCAATGCAGCATGCATAGAAAACTAGGTGAATGTTGCGTTTTAATCAAAACGTAAGATGTGCAGCAGTTTGTAAACGGACAATTAGTCTCAAATACTGAAAGTAGACGACGACGATTTCAGTCCCAAGCAAGTTGGGGTACTGAAAGTAGACAACAGTAAAACAATTCAAACTTCGTACACCCATCACAGTACTTGTCGGTTTCATGGATTCCATGGGCATGGTGGAGCGAATGATCACATCCAGCAGAAAATACGGCACAGGGGATCATGCTAGGGTTCATGGAAAGAGCCGAAGGCAGCAGAGTAAAGGGAGGTGGGGAGCCAGTGACACCAACCAGTTGACGCCATGGTCGTGGAGGAGGAGCACGCGCGTGAGCTCCCGGGTGGCGGAGAAGTCGGTGAAGTCGACGGACGCGCGGCCGCGGTCGGTGACGGAGACGAAGGGGCGGAAGGACGGGTAGAGCTCCGCCAGCGCGGCGAAATCCGGCGCGGCGGCGGCGTAGCGGTTCCGCGGGTGCATCGACGGCGCCTCTGAGCCGTCGCGCCGCCGCCGCTTCCTCCCGCCGCCCATATCGGCGTGGAGGTGGAGCGCCGGCCGCCGGCGAAGCACGGTGGAGGTGGAGGCGCAGACAAGTACGTGGGCGGGCCGACGCGCGGTGGAAGAGCACTCGATTGTTGCTGGGCCTTCCTGCCCGCACCGCACGCCCATAGGCCTGATGTGGTCTTTCGGCTCTATCAGTGGTTTGGCCCAGGAGCCAATCTGACCCAACGCGTCCGTCTCGTTGGCGTGGGCTAAAAAGTTGGCCTAATGTCATGTTTGAGTCAGGCTCGCGACGGTAAAAAATGCCGGTAATTTTGAATTTTGCAACTATTTACTTGGGTTAAGTTTTGAGAATATTTTTTTAGTGACCGTGATCGACACCGTTTGCCATTAATTAAAATTAAAATAAAAAAAGTTTTGATAATACATTTAGTCACTACTCAATCGATATTCTATACATACTACAAAGCTGTTGTTGTCATGTTCATCTTATGATGATGAGAGCATCTTCAGCAGCTTATCAATAACTCATCCCCAATAGAGTGATGTTGGTGATGACCAATACTGCCTTTTAGAGTATTGGAGGAGTTGCTGCAGCAGGTCAACAATAATCTCCCCAATACGTGGGACCTACTTATCAGTCTTTTCTTCTTCCTCGGTCCTTCTCTTTCTTTCTTCCATCACAGGATCGGATCCAACGTGCGCTCTCTCAGACCATCCTTTCTCCCCTTGGTCCTTCTCCGCACTACCGAGTACCGACGCCCCTATTTGCCGTCGCTGTGCTCCTGTCCAAGGCGCGCGGGAAGAGAGACGACCTCGTCCCTGGCTGGCATGTGAGGTGGCCGAGGACTCGCGGGAGTTGTGATCATGTGGAAAGGGAGGCAACCTTGTCCATTGCCTAAGGCAAAATCGTGCGAGCCTGCCGCGACCTCCTTCCCCACGCGCGGGACCTTCTTCTCCTTGCGAGACCCAGCTCCAGCTCCTCTGTGCCACCAACGACATCGTAGAGCGCGTACAACTTCTCGCTAATGTCAACGACGGCGCCTAGAAGAGAGATGGCGAGGGAGGAGACGATGTGGTCCACCTCGGCGGCTCGGATGTAGACGAAGAACTGGACAGACTGGATCAGCTGGTAGCGACGTTGCTCGGTTGGGAAGTGGTAGTTGTGGTGGGTCCAGGCTATTGAGGGAGATGCTATCTCCCCCTTTATCTGGGTAGAGATGGAGAGGATATTGATAACCACCGAAAATTGGGGAGATTATTAGAGAACTGCTAGAGCAGAAGAAAAACATCATCTCCTCAATATAACAGTTTTATGGGGGTGATGGGCGGTATTGGGGATCTGGCTGGAGATGCTCTTTGTCATTTCTAAAGCATCTCTCTGTCTGGAAAAGATGACAATTCGAATTTGGAATCACAAGGTGAGCGCACTCTTGCCACATATATGCACTTAGCTTGCTAGGGTGCATATGTGTTAAAGGACAAGTTTGCCATTGCCACACCTTTAGCATTGATTCCATTAGATGGAACATCTAGCTGGCAAATCTCTTATTCCAGGAGATATGAACATCAAGAAGAAATTTCGGAGATATGGACGGGATGAAAATGCCGATCGACTCCGTCCATCCATCCCCTTCAACTAGTGAGAAACGAATCCGGGGACCCCAAGGAGGAGCAGCAATTAGCAACGTGTTTTGGATTCTGGACGCAACGCGTTGCGAAGAGAATGCGAATAAAGGAAGGTGATTGGAGTCATACAATTTCCACGGTGAGAACGTGTTGGGAGATGCATGGCTAGTGAACAGTCCTATTAGAGATGAACTTAGGCTGTTACATTGATACGGATATTCCTTTTTTTAGTGCGGTACAACAACATGCTCGTCGACGGTGACGGAAATGAATTGAAGGTCAAGCCGTCGTAACTTTGCGTGGTTCGATTTTGTTTTTTTTTTTCATTACATAGTACAATGCAGATACTCAACGCACGCACAACATCGAATGTATTTTCTATTTTTTTCACATTGTTTTTGAAGCAGGAATCAAGCAAGGTTTGTGACTTGTGGATGACAAGTGGCTCATGGTGTTTTTAATTTATCCATCACAACCAACACACACACAGTGACACAGCCACCTCAAATGCACATTGGGTTTGCAATGCAAGGAGGAGCCAACACAAAAGTAACTGGTTTTACGATGAACGCATTGGGCCGGTTTGTGTACGCAAACACAGCGGCAGGGGCGTGCTGCACAGGACCATGCAAAGCACGTACTCGTACTGTACGGGCCAGGAGTATATAATAATCTCTATCTCTATCTCTATCTCTACCCCTATAATGCACCACTTCAAATTATCCTACAACCACTAAACAAATCCCGTCTCTACAGTCACGACCTAAACTACGTCCACCCCACAAAACACACACAGAAAAAGATGACATTAAAAACGTACGCACCAAATTAACTCTCACTCATTCTCTCTCCTTACTCAACCACATTCGACGGCCGATGTTCTTTGGATCTCCCACCCCCGATCTCCCCACTTCACACGGCGGGTCTGATGCGAACGCGACTGCGGCTTCCCGTGGTGCTCCTCTCCTGCTCCCTCTTCTTCCTCGCCGGCTTCTTGGCTCATTTGCTCTTCACCTGTGTACGCTGACGGCGAGCCCCGCAACAAGCACGTTCCGATTCGTTCTTTGCCTCAGAGCGCCGCTCCCGATCAGGGGTGGGCTGGCTGCGGTGCGGCGTGGTGGCGTGTGTAGGATCCGGAGGAGGCGGACATGCCGGTGCCGAGGGGAGCGGCTGCTTTGAGACGGCGTGTTTCGAGATGCCATCTGGCGAAGTGAAGTCCGGCGAGGCTGCGCCGTCCGTAATCCCATACCAGGTGATGTCTCGTTCCGGTTCCATCTCCGCGAGGGCGATTGCCCCACATTCGGCGTGATGAGCATTGGTGCGGGCACGTATGTTCGTGAATTAATTCTAAGCTAGCTCATGAATGAACTGACTTTGGTGACGATATTCCTCGGTTGGTAGAATTCATCTTTTGGGTATTTGATGTGAATGCATGATATCATGCAGCGACCCACTTTGGGGTGAAACTAACTTGTCAGTGTAATGTTTCCCCAATTTTGACTGTACCTTGTGGGCAGCGGCATGTGATTGTGGCGGAGTTTGGGGGTCAGTTGCGTGCATGCAATTTTCGTGGCCTCATGGTCTTGCGTGTTGGGAAGATTGATAAGCATTTCAAATTTAGTAGGCTTCCTGGCATAAGAGGAAAATGCAGGAGGTGTGGGTGTTGTGGGACTTTCAAGTGGCACCCTCACCAATCACAGTTGTATCTCTGTTTCTGCCATCGTGCAGCTAATGTAGGTTCCTATTACTCAAGAACAGTTGTTGTAATGAATGGATGCAGCACATTTAGATTTTATTGTGTTTATGCATCGAACAATTCTACAGAGTATCGGCTACATTGAGCATAATTTTTTAGGTATAGAATGGGTTGATTTGATATCGTGCGAACAATTTATACACCCTAGATTTCTCACCATGACACGAGATACGCATCTGACTTCTGACATTTAGCTTATGGCTGGGCATCCTATATCCTGGCAGGCTGACACTACTTGTTTGCAGGGTAAGAATTCAGTAATATCTTTAATTGTATTTCTTCTGTTACATAATACACCACGACCTCAGCTTCACTAGAAATTGCTGGGTTTTTTTTTTCCATTTGTCATTATGTTCCTGAAATCCACCTGTGCTGTTTTAATAATGTATTCTGAACTCTTGAGCAGATTTTGAGCTGGCACCCTCGTGCTTTGTACTTTCCACAATTTGCGACATCAGAACAGTGTGAAAATATAGTAAAAACTGCAAAGGAGAGACTGAAGCCATCAACATTAGCCCTGAGGAAAGGAGAAACCATGGAGAGTAAAAAAGGAATCAGGACAAGGTAACCTTAAAGTCCAAGAGTAAGTGTGGTAAAGGAATAACCAAGGCCTTGTTTAGATTGCAAATTTTTACAATCTGGATATTGTAGCACGTCTCGTTTGTATTTGACAAACTTTGTCCGATTATGGACTAACTAGGCTCAAAAGATTCGTCTTGTGATTTACAACCAAACTGTGTAATTAGTTATTTTTTTTACCTATATTTAATGCTCCATGCATACGTCCAAAAATTGATGTGATGGAGAGAGAGTGAAAAAACTTGGAATTTTGAGGCCATCTAAACAAGGCCCAAATAGGCTGACAAATCAGTCCACATTTATTACTGTGGAGAGATTTTGCAGTAGCTTTTTCTATGGATTGTACTTATCCTGCAATGAGCAATGCCATCTCAGAACTGCCTATTTTTAGGAGATGGTTTTTCAAAAATCATAAAAGCATATACATCATTTTGGTTGTTTAATTTGTGTTGTTTTAAATATTACTGTACCATTAGCACGGGCAATATACTATAATTAATCAAATACTTATAAATTTTGCAAAATCAACCGTTCATAACCCAGTTTGGACGAGATCCGCGATGTTGTGGCAAACTAGACCACAAGAAACCGATAAAAGTGCTCGAGTGCTGGCCTGACATGGAATACAAATTTAAAGATTGCAGCAATGTAAGATATGTTCAGTGTACTCCTTTATATTTTATTTATATATATTATACTTTTTTTAAACACTTATATTCGATGTTATATGAGAAAAAACTTTACTATCTTAGTTTATCGGATTGTATACATGCTCAAAGATATTGTGTAAAAGTTGAACTATGAAAAAAAAACATTAGTTGTTTTCATGTGCGTCTTTAAGATAAATTCATTGCGTTAGCACGGGCATTATACTCGTAACAGTAGTAGTAGTAATAGTAATAGTAATAGTAATAATAGTAACAACAACAACATGGCTGTTGGTCCGGCGGCCGGGATCCCGGTCCCGATCGGCCGATCCAATGTAACTATCCAAGCGACCAAGCGGCCGCACCGGCACCGCACATCACATGCCGGCCTTCCTCCCGGCCCGGGAATATCTCGCCCACTGGCACACGGCATATCCTCCTCCTCCTACGACGACCACGACGCCCGCAGCCACGTGCACCCCGTCCGTGCACCGCTTTCCCGGGGCGGCGTGCAGCCGTGCACGGCCGCGTCTCGGCTCCCTGGACCACGTCCACCGACCTTATATCCAGCCCTTCCCTTAACCCAACCCGAGTTAGCTAACCCAACCTTGGCGTAGTCAAGGAAGAATCCAAAGTCCTCTCGCAGACTCGCACGCGCACCGCACCGCACGCTGCACCCACTCGCTGACAAAACCGGCCCCGCGCACGCGTCACCCGGCTGTCAGTGACACGGCGTCTCCGAGGGCTGCGTCACGTGCGCCTGGCGGTCGCCGGAGACCCACGTAACCACGGTTCACCAAACCACAGTACCAGCCTCAACCCAAGCGGGGTTAGCGCCCACCCCGCGAGATCACGCCACGCGTCCGGATCCAACGGACCTCCACCTCCCGAGCCGGCTATTTAACCGCACCGGGTCTCCCCGTCCCAGGTCATCCACCGAATCCTCCGCCTCTCCTCAATTAACAAATCCCCCACCCACTCCAGATCCCCAGAACCCTAGCACCCCCTCACCCTCCGGCAATGGCGGCGAACCCGCGCGTCTTCTTCGACATGACGGTCGGCGGCGCGCCGGCGGGGCGTATCGTGATGGAGCTCTACGCGAACGAGGTCCCGCGCACCGCCGAGAACTTCCGCGCGCTCTGCACGGGCGAGAAGGGCGTGGGGAAATCGGGCAAGCCTCTCCACTACAAGGGCTCGACGTTCCACCGCGTGATCCCGGAGTTCATGTGCCAGGGCGGCGACTTCACCCGGGGCAACGGGACGGGAGGGGAGTCCATCTACGGGGAGAAGTTCCCCGACGAGAAGTTCGTGCGCAAGCACACGAGCCCCGGGGTGCTGTCCATGGCCAACGCCGGGCCCAACACCAACGGCTCCCAGTTCTTCATCTGCACCGTGCCGACCCCGTGGCTCGACGGGAAGCACGTCGTGTTTGGGCAGGTTGTGGAGGGGATGGATGTGGTCAAGGCCATCGAGAAGGTTGGGTCCCGCAGTGGGTCCACTGCTAAGGAGGTCAAGATCGCCGACTGCGGCCAGATCTGATCGGTGTCGTCGAGCGTGCGGCCGCCCTCGTTCTCTCCGTCGTTCGTCGTCAGTTCCGTTTCGTTTACCTCTTCCCTCTGAATAAGATGGCGTGCGTCCGGCTGGTGATCTGAGAGGTGGTTGAGTACTTGAGTCTGTATTGCGTGTCCTAGAGTTATTTGTGTCAGTCCGTTTAATCGTTGGGGTTGCTGGGTTTCATAGGGGGCCGGTCCATGGATCCGGTTCCTGCCTAGTTAATTCGTCGTCGTGTTTCTGTATCTGGTGATGAGAACCTCGGAAACTTGGCTTCAATTTCTTGGTCTGGTTGCTACTGATTGTTTGTGATGCGATGACTGTTCTCCGTTTTTCTGAACGGAAATGTTATATAACACCCGTGTGTTTTACCTTCGGGGCACACACGATTTTTTCCCCGCGGAACCGCCCGTCCTCCGGCGCACGCGCCGCTGCCGCGCCTGCGGCGCTGCGCTAGCGCCCGCACCCGCCTGTCCCCGGCCCGCGCCGCTGCTGCGACCGGCATCGGAAACCAACTCTGGCGAGCTTCTTCTTCCCCAACTCCGATCCGGGAAAAAATTTGGGTGTAACCGGGTGCTAAATCACACGGTTGTTAGGTTAGGTAGACAGACTCTTTCTGATCACTGATGCGCCTGCCAAGTGCCGCTTCAGGTCCGTTGGTCAGTCAGTTCAGTTTACCCATCCCCTCGGCTGTCGTTTCTGTCGTTTTCTTTGATTGAACAACCCCTATGGATGGGAATGCGTGAAATTATCCACTGGGGGCATTTTTTATTAGATTATTAATTTAAAACGAGACCTTTTTCTCTCGGATTGTGTGCGGAGGTCAATGCTAAAGTAGTGTAGCATCACCTCCGTTTTCGTTTACCTATCACCGAATTTTTACTCTAGCAATTTTGATCATACGTTTTTTCTACAAAAATTTTTTAGATACATCAAGTTTTCACATATATGATTCTTTATTGAACATACTTTATTAGTGTTATATACATTAAAGTATCTAAGATTTTTTTAGAAGAAAAAATAGATGGTCAAATTTGCTACAGTAAAAAGTTGCTGACAAGTAAACCCAAACGAAGGAAAATACTATAGATTGTTTTGTTATTGATCAGATCACCCCAAACAAGAAGTTAAAAGTGACCCTAACATTTAGCCATCATACAATTAAGCAACCATTGAACTAAACTGTAAGTCACCTAAATCTTCACTTAAGATTTCGGTTGATTGATTCAAACAAGCTCTTCTCTTAGATAATCAAAGTACGGTTGAGATGGGATTTCGGATCAGCTGTCAGATAGCATCAGTACAGATGACGTGGCCGCCATCTCCTGTGTTTGTGTGCAATCCTGTGGTTTGTTTGCATTGCAATCCTCACTTTTGGCTCTGCACAAAAAAGCCACGAAAAGTCAAAATAAGTTCAAGCAACAGGCCCACTTTTGGCTCTGCTGAAAAGCCACGAAAAGTAATAAGTTCAAGCAACAGGGCCATGTCTTATTTAATCTACGTTCGTTTTGCTTATAAATCGTATTTTTAATGGACAAATAATATTTTTCTCATTCAACAAATTAATTAACGATATTTTAAATCATGACTTATTAGCGAGGCGTGGAACTCATCAGTACTGCTAGAAGAGGTGGTACAGCCCCCGTGACTGACGGGGCTCAGTCATTGCCGAACCGGCGGATCACGCATGCTCCTTTTGGCGTTGGGCACCACCATGTGTTCATTCATTATTATCATGTGTTTTGCTAGTACGCACAGTACGTGCCCACGATGGTACTCCGACCTTGCACCTCTATTTTGGAGATCTTTTCTACCGTAGACGAGCGAGACGAAGCTTCTTCCCCCGTTGGTTGCCGTTGTTGGTCCAGATGTGAATCGAAGTGGGGGACTTGCTTCCAATCCAATGTTCGCATTCGATTTGGATGCGGTCTCATCTCATCACTAAGACCATCATCAGAACATGAGCAGCACAGGTCTCACTGCGGAGGGTTTTTGTTGTTGTTGTTGTGTGTGTGTGTTCGATCATCATCTTCCGGCTTCCGGTCGGCGGTCGCACTTGCACATAGAGGGAATAAAGAAAAAGGAAAAAAAACCAAAGAAAAAGAAAAGTTTTTTTTAGGGAAAGAAAAAGAAAAGGGGTGGACGGCTCGAGGCAGGCCCCGCCAGGCCGTTGCCGCTGAGCGCAGGTGCACGCAGCGCAGCGCCTCGTGGTCGAAGCAGGAATTCACGCAAGCGGCGTGCACTGCAGTGAGTGCAGACGTGCAGTGAAGATTTTTTTTTTGTTTGACTCGGGCCACCTCGTGGTCGGCCGCACCGGCACAACCACAAAACGCAGGCAGGTCGTCCAAACGGAGATACGTGTGCGTTACGGGAAAAAAAAAGATAAGTCCAATCTAAGGTCCAAAACACAACTCACCCACCACGGTACATTACCGATAATCAAATGCACGTATTGTTTAATTTTAAGATACACATGGAACAAACTAATAATAAACATGAAGTAGAAAAATACTAAAAGAGCACTATAATTTTGATTTAAACTTTACCGTTCCTTCGTGCCTTGGAAACGGGCGGCTTATGATGTCCCTCTCAACTTGCCAATTGATCTTTCTTTTCTTTTTTTTTTTGCAAATCAGTGATAATCTACGAGACGAACGGACGTACTACTACATCTTAAAAAAATAACAAATACTCCCTTCGTCCCAAATTATAAATCAATTTGACATTTTTGTTCATCCATTTTACTATATATCTAAACATATTATTATATTTAGATACATAGTAAAATAAATATATCAAAAAAATCAAAGCAACTTATAACTCGGAACGGAGGGAGTACCAATGATGCTATAAATAAGAAAAATCACAGATTTACAGTCATGAATCCTCACTGATGTTGTTGCTTGCCCCCCTTGCCTGCAAGCAACTGCTCCTCTGGTTGATGGCTTGTATCCTTAGGCCCTGTTCGCTTCACCGAAAAGATAAATGAAAAATACTGTTCGCTGATTTAGTTGTGAGAGAAAAACATTGTTCATTCGCTGAAAAAGTACGGCTGAAAAGTCAAGCGAACAGGGCCCCACCGCCGATCGTCGTCCCTCAACGCTCCCTTGTCGCGAGCATCCGTGGTGCTGCAGTTGTTGAACGCTAACCGTCAAGAGTCTAGGAACAAAGGGCCCCTCCGGGTGCCGTGAAAGGTCGAACCAGGGTTCGTCTATCGCACACTCGCAATAATGGATGGGGATTAGGAGACTAGGCAATTTGGAATTCGATATTAGGCCGAACCAAGTAAAGGGAGGAGTGGATTGGTGCTGCTTTGGTTTGAGTTGTCGCTCACAAGAAGCAAATATCACAACCCAACGAGATCACACAACTAACGCTAAGACCCTCCCACCCTAGTCGTTCCTAGACTTCCCCATCCATGATTCATCTCCCAAGCATAAGCATCCACTACTCCTCCTGTTCCTGTCCCCATGTACTCTGACCTCCGTCGATCTGGCCAGAGGGTCGTCGCTAGCCGCCAACCAACTCACCGTCTTGACCGGGTTTGGAGCTCCAAAGTAAAGTTAGCAAGAAGGCGTCATCGACGGCGCGGATTCGGTATACAACACTAGGTATGTAAAATGATGCAGTAATGCTTCATTGCTTCATTTTAGTGCTGAACTGACATGGGCAAGGTATGAAAATAGGGTATTGATGACATATGCATGTACAATGAGTGTTTTATGTGCTATACTACATAGCTCGTGAGCTAAACGACCTAGCTCGAGTTGGACCAAACTGAGTCAAACCGGCTCGATCGATATCACCCCTACATGCATCCGTGGCTTGTCTCTTCACTTCATAAAAATTTAAATCCGTATCTCATTCTCAACTCCTACGAATTACTACGTGTATTTATTTGCCCTATAAGTATTTGATATGAGACGGGGTTAGAAACTAGCCGCATTGCATATCTCGCTTTTCAAAGAGTACGTCAAACGGTTTTAAATCTGACTAATTAAATTGTAAAAAAATAGCATTAACATTTATATCCCTAAATAGGTTCATGATGAAAATATATTGTTTGATTAATCTAGTGATATTTTTGACGTCATAAACGTTTGATTCTATATAGATTTAATATAATTTAACATTAATGAAATTATTGGAAAATGAGATGTGCATATTTTGTTTGGCGGTGACGTTTATGTACTGTACGTAGCACTCTGAGAGTAGATATAGCTTTGCATAAAAAAAGTGAGTAGATGTAGCTGGCTTAATTGGGCCGTGAGCCCAGCTCCTCCATAGGGGCCCACCAAGGAGCGCTCGTGCTTCAGGCCTCAACATCGTCAATTTCAGTCAGCCCATGGAAAACTAGGCTCTGAAAGGCCCAACCAAATATCACACCAACAATAACATCTCCAGCTGATTAAAAAAACTGCTCCAGCATACACGGATTCATGATGTTACCCTTCTTCTATTTGCTGAAGCTGGGCATTGGTTGGGATTGAACCTACGGTACTACTTATGATGCTATCAAAGGTATTGAATCCCTAAGCTTATTGATAGCATATTGCACTTCTTTTCTCGAATGAGAGAGTAAAGGGTGGAGCAAGCGAGGATATGCTTAATTTGCTTTGGGAGGCATATGCATCTCAGTCTGCACGGGCTCCTTTCGCTTTTCCCTCGCAATAAATATGTAAATTCATTTCACAGTAATTATGAGATTTTCGATCTCCTTGAAAGAAAATGAGTGAATCCATTTACTAACAACGTCCCCTAAAACTAAAACAAAACTAACAACAGTTCATCATTCGTGCATGTCGCAATCATAGTAGTTACTAAAATAAAATCTACAACGCCTCTGTGATCTTAGCCAAGAGCATTAATTCCACGATCTTGGTCCCTATATTGGCCTCGTTCGGCTGGCACGAAGGAATCACGGTTCATGGAGGAATTTCACTGTTTACGGCTGATTCCTCTCACAAATTCATCCAGATTCATCCAAATTTCTCCAAACGAACGGGACCATTTATGATTCTAACAACCTTGATCACAATGTGATTAGCCGATGGGAGGGTCTAGCGCCTGGACATCCGGACAAAAGCGTGCGTTCGAACGCCCGCGCCTTGCCCGCCGCTCATGAGAATATTATCGTTGCCCAGCGCATGCTTAGCGTAAAACGCGTGCTCGCCCATGGTTGCCACGCCCGTGTAACAGGAGGACCGTTACCCCACCAGACCGTAACATACTGGAGCGCGCTCCCCGCTCCCGCCTCACCCCACTTGCGGATATGCGCTAGGAGGCGTCTGCGGGCCTCAGGTGCCTGCACGGTGACCCACAGGCGGCACCCCAACAACACTAGCAGACGGCTATGGCAAGCCGTTGTCCGCCAGCCACTGAGGCCGTTGTTACATGTGCTCCCCCAGATCTACTTTTGAAACATCTAGTAGAAACACTTGCAACATGCGACTGAAAACAGATGAAACACTTGAAACATAAGCTTGAAATATGCGTGTATACATAGCAACATATGCAGAATCTATATCTAGTTTTGCAACATCCAGATAAAACACTTGTAACATACGTATGAAATACTTAAAACGCTTGGAACATGCGTTTGAAACATACATGTTATGCAACGTTCAGATATATTTCTGCAACATCATGATAAAACACTTGAAACATACTTTTGAAACAACTGAAGCACTCGAAAACATATGCTTGCAATATGCGTATATTGTCATTGCAACATATGCAACATCCCAAATCGATTTTTGCAATATTCAGATGGAACTACGGTGGGGGATGGGGCGCGGCCTCAGCGTAGGGCTGCAAGCTGATTTTGTCGAGCTCCACCTGCTCCCACGCCGTCGCCCGCCTATCCGCCTGCTGCGCCGACCCGTTGCTCGACCGCTTCGATGCTCTCTTCGCCGTGCTCGTCAAGCAAGGCTCCTCTCAGCGTCGGCGATGGCGACCCGCATGGGCTAGGCTACGCCGCCCAAGATGGACTGGAAGGCGCGCAAGATGCATCGCTTGGTGGCTGCCACGGCACACGTGCCACGAGCTCGACGCGCTCACCGAGCTGGAGCAGCCCGCGCCAGCGTCGCTGCGTCAGGGGGCAGCCGGGCCGAGTGCGCGCATCGCGTGGCTAGGCAGAAAAGCGGAGCGCCTTGGATAAGAAGGAGCCACATCGCTAATTAGAGAACTGTGCGAACGAATTGAAGGTGGGAGCAGGCCAGTGGGCCTAGCTAAGAGCGTCAGGGGGCACGGACGCGGTGCGAACGAATTGAAGGTGGGAGCATGCCAGTGGGCCGATCAGCGGGCCCAGCTAAGAGCGTTAGGCGGCACGGGCGCGGTGCGAACGAATTGAATGTGGGAGCATGCCAGTGGGCTGGTAAGCGGGCCCAGCTAAGAGCGTCGGGGGCACGGACGCGGGACGGACACCCACAGATCCGCATCTTTTTAGTATGCAGCTAACTGGCAAGCCCACGCCGTTGGCTTCTTCAGGCACCAGTACTGTGCGGCCCAGAGAGGAAACCGTCGAGCCCAGCCCAGGATTCCTGCCCAAAGTGAGCACAGAAAGGCCCAATTGCTACTCCCAATTCCAGCACATGCCAACATTGGTGAGAGGGAACTACAGCAATCGTAAACCTACAGGCTACAGCAGTCGTACTAATAGTACCTGTATTCCTATTTCCCTAATCGCCAATAATTATACTCTAGTATATAACAATTATAACGGACAAATATTTCAGTAATATTGGCATGTCACATCACATCTGCTCCCGGCACTGTCCATTTTTTTTCCTAAAAAAAGATGTAATCACTACAGCTTGTAATTGTAATCTACTCCAAACTTGCTGCAACGACAATACAATGGTACATACAGTTAAATCAATATTTGCTTACGCTACTGATCAAAATCTGACAATGTTCCAAGACGATTCAGACGACAACTCGCTCATTGCCTCACTCTCAAATCAAAGCCTAGGCATGATGAATATGAACATCTCCAGTTCCTCTTCCTCCCACCCACCTGATTGCTACAGTAAAGTAACACACACGCTTCAAAACTGGCACACGCGCACGCCGCCGTCGCCGTAACCCTCACCCGGCGCGCCGCATCCTGCTCGACACGAGCGGGCACGCCGCCTTGGCCCGCAGGATCTCGAGGCGGCGCCGCCGCGCGCCCGCCGACACGGCCGCCTTCTGCAGCGCGGCACGCAGCTGCGCCTGCCGGTACCACTCGGCCGCGGCCGCGGCCGCCGCAGCGGCCCGCGCTCGCGCCTGCATCAGCTGCTGCTGCTCGTCCTCGTCGGCCGGCTCGTTCAGGTCCAGCACCACCAGTGGCGCCGGCGCCGGATCCTGCTCCCTCCTCGCGACCTGCGAAAGCGACACGTAGCCAGCCAGGGTGCTGCGGCGTCAGTTCGAAATCGGATGATCCATGATTGGATCTGCCTCCTTTTTTCACTGCTTCGTGTGCGTACGTATGCATCTGCCCGTGTTTAGTAAAAAAAAAAGTTCAAAAAAGTGTTACAGTATCCATCGCATCGAATTTTACGATACGTGCATGGAGCATTAAATGTAGATGAAAAAAAAACTAATTGTACAATTTGGTTGGAAATCTCGAGACGAACGTTTTAGACCTAATTAATCTATAATTAAACACTAATTATCAAATAAAAACGAAAATCCAAATTCCAACTTTTCAACCAGGTAAACTCCTGGTACTACTCTATATTGGTAAAGGCGTCATCCAAAAGGGGGAAAGCCAATCACAGAAGGGAAACAAACTCCTGGTGCTACTCTATATACGGTCAATGGCGATCGGATAATCGAAATCGAAAATAAAAATCCTTTTTTTTTGTAAGATAAGATGAACAGGATGATTGTTTGAAAGGTCGCAGTTTTCGTTCCTTGTTGGGGACGGGACGGCGGGGTGGGCGAGCAGAGGTTGGAGTGGTTGCGGTTGCGGTTGCGGTTGCCGTCCGTCCAACACGCAAGCAAGGGAAGCGAGTGCACAAGAATTGAGCAGCAAGAAACCGTGCCTGTGCCTCTGCTGCGGTACCCCGTCCGTCTCCGTGGCAATCACGGCTACCAGATTTGACGGAAAGCGACCGAGAGAGAGAAGGAATCCATCCATCCATCACCGCGTGCGAGTGCAACTGGTTCGTCAGCCTCTCGTTCGTTCGTGCTCCTCCAGCTCTGCATCCGAGCTCTGCTCTGCAGTGCTCCTCGATCTGCTGCTTGGCTTGGTTGCTAATGGGGAACGAACGCGAAGCCGCAGCGCTTGAATTTCTAATCAATCGTTCGAGGTCGCTAGTCGCACAAGCAATCGATCGACGGGAGACACGAACAGAGGGGGAAAAAAATCTAATCTCCCGAGGAGGAAGAAGGGGAACAGGAGTGGGCGCTGACCTGGAGTGGACGCGCGTTCTCCTGGGACAAGCTCGCCGCCGCCACTTCGCCGTGCTGCTCCTCCGCCCACTGAGAGCAGTCAAAGCCACATTAATCGTCGCCCGACCACCAGAGGATTTTGTTCCTCCTATTTTTTTTCTTTCAAAAAAAATCGGAAAGCGAAGCGACGGAGGAAGACCCGGCGGCGGCGGCGGCGGCTGAGGCGCGCGCGCGCAGATCTCGCTGGCGGGCGGCTCACCTGGTCCCGTGGGCGAGCGGCGGCGACCTCGCCCTTGTCCTTGGGCGGCGCGTCGTCCCCGCCGCTCTCCGGGTACACGAGCGGGGTGTCGGGGCTAGCGGCCGCGGGAGCTGGTGTGGGGGAGGGGGGCGGAGAGGGCTTGTCCTCCGGCATCGACCGCGGGCGGCGGCGGCCCCAGGAGGGGATCTCCGGGAACGCGGCCGCGGCCGCGGCGCGCGCGCGCGCGCGCTCGCGCCGCCGCTTCCGCCGGTCCCGCGCCCGCATCAGCCTGCTCATGTTGCACAGAATGGCGGCCACCTGCAGCTGCTCCGCGTCCGCCTCCTCCTCCTCCTCCTCCACCTCCACCTTCACCTCCATGGGCGCGAGCTGCGGGGAATCGGGCTAGCCTCGGCGGCGGCGGAGCAGCAGAGCGCGATGTGAGCGAGCGAGCGGATTGCTTCCGGCGCCGTGTGGTTTAATAGGGTCGCGCGAGCTGCCGTGGCGCCACGTGGCACCGCGGCCGTGGGGATTGGGTGGCCGCCGGGAGGATGACACGCGGGCCCGCGCCGCGCCGTGTGGTGGTGGTGCTACTAGTGGCTTGGTTGGTGCAACCCTCGCGGTGGGCCCGCCACCTCTTTCCTCCCTCTCCTCTCCTCTCCTCGCCTCCTCTCCGGTCGCGTCGTCTGTCGTCTCCGCTAGATTTTCTCTGGTTGTGGCATAGCATGCAGTGTGGTGGACGGACTGGACTCCGGCCCCGGCTTTTGGGGTTTGTTTTGTATGGCTTGTTGCCCTTTTCTCGTCTCTCCCTGCATTTATCCGGCCCCAAAGCTGCTTTTCCATGCGCCACGCTGTTTACTCGTGACATGTATACTCATGAAATTTCTAAAAAAATGGCTTCTACTATATATTAGATTCAAACATTGTCCAAATTTCAAATAAAAGGTCGAGATTAGCAATACGATCGATCTTTGAGGTCTCCCTGCACGTTGCATCATGAAAGAATGGAACCACATTAGTTGAGTGGTGCTAGGAGTGAGGTTCATGGATAATTTTTTGTTTCTCGTGAGCTAGGTCCGACAAATGCAATTAAGAGTAGCCAGGCAAAGAATACGTCTAACACTAACACTGGCTACTAAACAACTTCTCAACAGATTTAGATCTCGTAAGAGCAAATGACCAAACGCTGGCGCCTACAGCCATATAGCCACACTTGACTCATGCTGGCTGAGAGTTACGAGCCAGGCTAGGAGCATTCAATAAGTAATCAGTCACGCCCTAAGGACTCGACTTAAACTGGTTGAGAGTTACGAGAGCTAGGAGCATTCAATAAATAACCAGTGAACCTAGCCTGGCTCGCATACGGAATCAAAGCCCCAGCTAGCCTGGCTGAGTCCATGTAAGTTTGTTGTGTTTTGTTATTTCCTGATTGCACATATCCTAGTCCAACTAGCATCTGACCTGTTATTTGGTTGCCCAGCCGTGTTCACGCGCCAAGTGCTTCCCCTACCATCGTGTTGGCCCCCACATGTTCACACCATGCACCACGCAAGCCAGGCTCCGTGAAAACAAGAAAATTTCCATGCCGTGCGAGCCAGTATGGGACGACGGTTATGCATTGACCAGGCTAGGGATCTATTCCTGGCATCCAATGACGCACAACTTGCATTGGCCGGTCCTGGCTACTAGGCTCAAACCAGGCAACCAATCACATGCATAACCAATTAACTAGTATGCCACTTACATATATATGTGATAGGTCAGCATAGTTTGGTTTCCGTCTTGACTTTCTTGCTTCAACAGAGTTATAGAATCACTGTGAGAACATATGACCTTTACAAATGTAGCCCGTGTTGATGTATAATATTCTCTTAGTTTTTTTAAATGTCGTCTTAGGTTTGACATAAGTCAGACATTTCTAACTTTGGCCGTAAATTTAAAAAATTCATGTGGTTCATAATAAATTTTGTTTTGTTATGTTATTAATAGTTAAAGTTAAGAATGTTTCACTTAGAATCTAATATGATATGCAAAGAAATAGAGGGAATATATTATTTTTGAACTCAATAGAGGGAATATCTTGAGACTTGAGAGCATGAGCACAGCACAGCACAGCACAGCACAGATCGATGGCACTGCACCGACCTTGGTACACAAGCCATGGCTTGGAGCATGGTATGTACACGTCACGCGTGCATGCAGGCCCCACATGTCAGGCAGGCCGACCATCCTGCAAGCTACGCATGCATGTCACGTGACCCTGGCGCCAGCGGCGGTGAACTGGTCCCACTTTTCAGATACAGAGAGGCAGAGAGCCTTGTAGTAGACTAGTAGCAGTGAACTGCACCAGAAATTAATACTGTCCGTTAATTACAGCTTTTTTTTGACAACATCCGTTAATTACAGTTGAGCTCTCTGGGTTCCCTCGGTCGCAGACGGACGCATCTGGGCAGCGTACGCCGGCCCGGCTCCTGAGGGCGCGACCTCCCGTGGTCGCCGGGCGGCGGCGGCCTCCCACCGTCGCCAGGGGCAGCGGCCTCCTCCTCGTCCCGCTCGTCTCCATCGACATCCCTACTCCCTCCCTCTGCAGGCAGTGGTACTGACGGTTTCATTCATCCACACCGGCACACCGCTGGTGGACCAAGCATTGCCCACAGTGAGCCCCCTTGTTCCCCTCCGTTCTGTACTCTTGGCACCATGACGAATTTTTCATTTGTTTCTATAAAAATGGAAGAAGTAATTGCTGTGGGTGTGATAAATAGAAACAAAACTACTGTGGGTATGTTAGATGGAAATCGTAATTGCTGTGGGTGTGATAAATAGAAACAAAACTACTGTGGGTATGTTAGATGGATTTGCCCTGGTTGTATATAATCAATGGTGAGGAATTTCTTCTTTTTGTTGTTTCCTTTTGCCCTTCATAACTTATGTTTTATCTATTTCTTGTCAGGAAACTGCACCTGTTCTGCATGTACTTTCATTTCTCGTTTGTTTATAAGAACTCAGATGATTATTTATCCAATAAATAAACAATACACATGAGTTTGTCTGGGATGATGCACATATGAAAACCTCTAGGTTGGTTTTGTTGCCATTTTGTTTTGCCGTAATTGATGGTATTCACCCAGGACCCCAAGCCCCAAGCCCCAAGCCCCAAGATACAGCAGCGATGGACATGGAGCGATGTAGGATATGGTGGCCATGCCAGGAGCTGCAGCTCAAGCATAAGCCCTTCTCACCGAGGCTCGTCCTGTTCGGATGGTTCTTTAGCAGTGCTGGTTCTATCGACATCGTCATCGCTGCAGTTGTGCCCCAAGTTCACATCCTGTGCTCTTTTGCCACACTCGACACCCTCCAGGTCAGTATTGATGATTCAGGTTAAACATAGTTTACCATTGTTGCTTCATTATTGTTTTTTTTTGGGTAGATGCATGAACTCATATTCAGCAATCTATGTGCCAAATGCAGTATTGTGAGATTCCCTTGTAAAAGCTTAGTTGAAGGTGAGGAAGTGGTCCATTTTGTATTTAATCCCAAAGTAACAGGACTGCTTAAATCCAATTTAAAGTATTAAATGTAACTGACAAAGATTTAGGGTGCAGTTTTAAGTTTAGTTTCTGTTCAGAGGAAATTACCATTGAAAATGTTGTGCTGTCATTTAGATGTCCAATCCAGTTTACTGTGGGTTCTTGAATGATATAGTTATTTTTTCTCTAATATAGAAATAGACCTATTATAATAAGGGTCAAAGGGGCGAATTCTGGTATCTATTTGTAAACGTGCACCCAAGAGGAGTTTCCTGTTCCTTTCAAAGCCACACACCATCAGTAAAAGAATAAAGTGGGACTGTGTACTACTACAAGGCCAAGTTGATTTGGCTAGTTGCTTGAGTGTCTACAGCTGATGTTTGTTATATTTGTTGATTTGCTGTTCAAGAACAAAGAGCTGTGATTCACGACAGCTTGAGGTATGGGAGGGGTTAGGGAATTAAGTGGCTTAGGAATCGAAGGGCTGTGGACTCCTGCCTGTCCTGTATGTTGTTTATTTTATTTTATTTTTGATATGCATAAATCAAATCCTCCAAGCTTGTGTTTTTAAGCAGAATTTTGGTTCCTTATTCTAGCATGAAAAAATGTTGAAGCTCTAACACTAAAATAATTTTAGCAAGTGAGAGTTAGCTACCTTTACTGGTGATAACTTTTACTCATGCAAATACTAGTTAGCCGCTTCTTCTGGTGATAGCTTTTCCTTATGGAAGTGCTGGTTATCTGCTTTTGTTGGTCGCATCCTCAAATCTTCTGGCCTTTTTATAATGGAAGGCATATATTTGTGTGGCTTGTTTACTGACTTCAGTTTGTCAATATCACATCCACCAGCGATCTAAGAGACATGTGAAGAGGGGGAGGGAAGGTGGAATGACATTGTTGTCAGAAGCTGGAAGGCAGGACTGCAGGAGTGGTGATGGTAACTTTAGTGGTGGTGGATGGGAACAGTGAAGGGCAAGAGATTGTAGGCTTGGGGTTTGGATGCTTAAGTTGCTCCCTGGGCCAAGTGGCCTTGCGTCCTCCTTGTCATGGTCTTTCCTTTTCATCCTACATCCCCTCATTCACTCTTCTTTGTTCTCACCTAGTCACCTTCCTCCTTCCTCTCCTCTGGTCCTCCCCTGCTTCCTCCACGAACTCTGGTGCAGTGGTGCCTAGGCGGTGCTGAGCACATAGCATTTTTTAATTGGTCCTATCTTTACCATGCATTTGTACTAAATTAATTTTTTCTTGAGTCGTTAAAGATTTTGTTTTGTGGCCCATCTCATCAATTCCAGAGTTTGCTTTGCTATGTAGAAAGATCTGCCTTGTCCTTTTTCCTTGCTTGGGGAATTCCAATAATCTACTGCTGAAATCATGTTATGTTTATCTGTTTCGTTTAATTTTGCAACATGCATGTTGAAAGGCAGAACCTCTGTTTTTTTTGCTCATCTACTGATGTAGCTGCTAAAATTCTCCAAAAGAAAACAAAACCTGCTGCTAGAGTATGTTTATCTTGGCTGCTTATATTTTTCACAGCTTCTTCTGTCAATGTTGTCTCTCATGCAGACCATCGTCCTTTCCTCAAATAAAAGGATGCCAGTAAGCCTGCAAGAATCTGCTGCATTTACCATTCTCGGGGATTGTGGCCGACACCCCCCTACAGGGTTAGAAGAATACTGCTTTAATAAATTAGAGCAGCTGCCCTTGGATGCAAACTTTGTTCAGAAAGAACATTTTGGTACAAGAAGAAACAATGCCATGATTGGATCAGTTGGGAATGGGGATCAGGGTCCAAGTTATGACCATAGAAGATGGGGATGTGATTGTTGTGTGTTGGATGGTTTTCTGGATGCTTGCAGAAAGTCTGCAGTCAAAGAGGGCAGTTGGATGCACTTGTATTGGAAGTTTGGAAAGAACTTTAAGAGCAACCTGAATCAAGTTCCAGTTCTTCACCATTTGTATCTTGATGGCCAACAGATTGAAAACAATCGTTGCCACGTATGTAAGTCAAGGCTCTGCTTATAATATCCTTGTATTAACAAATTTTTGAACTGTCATGTTTTTACGACTCTTTAGTTATTCTTCCTTTTGCTCTGACAAATTGATGAGATATTTTATTCAATTTATTCTAGGTCATACCATATGAGGTTCCGACCATTGGCAGAAACCATTTCTCACTGGGTTTGGATGCACCTCGCAAGTTGAATGTTTCTTTCAAAAAACCAAATTGGATAAATGATCTACAAAAGCAACCAGCATTTCTTGATTTGGTATGTGCATTAGTGGTTTTGCATGTTATTTATTCCTTTTTTTGGTTAGATGGTCTACTAAGTCAGTTCATGTTTGTTTGAAGGATTCAATTGTTTTGGCGCTTAATTGTTCAAATGCAGCTAGACTGCCAGACACTCAGGAATGTTCTACCACGAGCTCTGGAGCTTATTTCATCTTTGCATCTGTGTACGCACTATTGTTAACCTCCTCCACTCTGCTCCTTTTGTCTGCTCTTACCTTCTTACTTGCTTATTCAGATACGATGTCTTAGTTCAAGTAACATGGCACTGTGTGGGGATATCTTTTGCTTCAGCATCAACTATTCTCTACATCATGATTCTAATGTTCTAGAAATGTTTAAGCCACATGCCCCAGTACTTGATGCTAAATAAGGTTTTCAGACATTCATGGAATAACATTCATCTTCGCAGCTGTCAAATTCTCTACTGGCCAATTGTCCTCCAAGATGCTTCCCTAAGGTAAATTAATAGTGGATCCATAGCTTCTTAATCTGCACTGTAACTTTTGTCACGGTTTTAATATCTGTTGTGTCATATTGGCATAACAATTTGTGCTATCCTTATAAGTTAACATATACCAAGGCAATAACATGGTGATTCTATTATTACTAATCTGACACGGTTATTTTAATATGCAAAAGAGAGTTTACTGGTTCACTTCCATTTTGTTGTTTCATGTAATCTTTGTATTATGAATATTGAAGTGCGTTTACATTCAGTACATATTAGTTATCATATACTCAAGTGCAGATTATTGAAAATACTAAGCTTCACTTTTATTATCGGCTCAGCTCCACTGTGAATGTTGAATATGCACACAAAGCTGCAATTCGGAAGCATGCTTTTTGGTCAAGTATCATTGTGGATCTCCTGATGGGTTTTGTCCTTGGAGCAGCATTCTTGTTAAATACGGAGACTATTTGTATTTGGACTATTGCTCTCGTCCACCACATGACAGAAGCAATCTTGAGATCCGGTTGTGTGTGGCTGATGGGTGTTCCAGCTGGTTTTAAGCTGAATACAGAGTTAGCAGAGCTCTTAGGCATGATTTCTCTTAATGCAGTTCAAATTTACTCTACCCTTTGGTTCTTTGTGGGAGGCTACCTGAGGCATATAATTCAAGGCATTGCAGTCTCTGGAATTATTTTAGGTCTGACAGCTCCAGTTTCATTCTTTATTGACATTATCCAGCTTGCTACGTTGCATGTTACCATGCTTCACTGGTTAATCTCATCGCTATATTCAGGACAAATTCAGACAGTAGCATCATTGTGGCGTCTTTTCAGGTAACATACTCTTGGTGCACTCATGTGGTACTTGTCGAATAAGAGGGTACTAACTGCAACATATGTTTATTACTGAATGACTGACGAGTTGATCAATTGCTAAACATTAGCTCTGATATCACCTTTTTCTCTGCAGTTTGACTTCGACAAAAATATGTTTGATTGACTTATACGAAATAAATGGAACCAAATGCATCTTTGTCTATTTGAATTTTGGCGCCTGTCTGACTGTATTATTTTATTGATACAGAAACATGAGGGGTTTGAGTATACCTAATTTTGTGGTTCTTAAATCCTTAACATGACGCAGAGGCGCAGAGCTGAGCTAGTTTGGGAAACAAAAAGGTTCGGGTTGAGGGAACTGCCATGTGTACATGGAAAAGTGAAGGCACAGCTTTGACTAAAATCCTAAACATGAGGGCCCCTGCCTAGATCACTTTCCCCAACTAACGAGACAACTTCCGTGAATCTAGGAATAGGAATGGGAAAATTGGTTCCATAGCATCAAAAGATAATCACTTTGGATATTGCCATCAGAGAATGAGTCCGTTTCAAATTCTAGCACTCTGTTACCTCCCACAAGACTGCAGGCTGTTCTCCGCTCCATTTTGAGCTGATGGATAAGGGAAAGATTTTGCTATTTGGTCGTTGCACTGAAACTTGAGCATTGAGAACGGGTTGGTCAAACAGATTGACCATGGCTGCACTCACTGGCGGTGATGTCGACCCCTACGGCAGCCAGCGACTCATGGCTCGCCATGCTGATGATTGGCAGGGGGAGGCTCTGGGCTGGTGGCTCGAAGGAGAGGTCGGTAGCACCGTAGCGGCACTAATACGTGACGGCAGTAGTGGCATCCTCGATTCCGGCATGGTCTGTGAGGGTATCAATGTAAATGGGGTTCAGATGAAGCACGGAGAAGGGAATCACGAGGAGGACTGCACAGTGCGGCTGGAGGACTTGGAGACGGAGGTGGTGGCAGTCCACAGCATTGGCACTGTGGGCCGAGGTTAAGGAGCCCCTCAATGTCCAGCACTGCCAGGAGGCCATGGCTTGCCTGCAGCGCAAGATGGCTATTGTCAAAATGGAGCTCTGCCAAATCCGCCACTTTGTCTACGAGAAGATGGTGCTTGACAGTGCTTGGCACCACCGAGATCTAGTAGTTCCATACACTCTTTGCCCAGCGTGCACGTCTGCTGGTGTGACTCCGTGCAAGGGGCCCTGAGTATACGTGGCCAAACGGGCCACCCAGGCACGGCACGGCACTAGCATGACGAGGCACGGCACGACGAGGCACGACACTATCAGGCACGGCGGCACTGTCGTGCCGTGCCGTATCATGTCACCGTGCCGTGTCGCGTGGCGCAACCGGCATTAGGTGTGCATTAGGTGCCGCGTGCCATGCGCTACAGCGCCTACATCGCCCGCCGCGGCAATGCAAGCAGGACATGCTCACTTTGCACAGCGGCGACGCGCTTATGCCCGCCATGAGGAACGCTGCGTCGTCCGGCTGCAGGGAGGACGTGCGCCTCGTCGCAGCGCTAGCACCTGCGCGAGGACGTGTAAAAGGTCCTAATGGCTAGATGGGTGGTGAATAGCCTATTAAAAATTTCTACAACAACACTTAGCAAACCGGTTAGACAAATATGAGGCGAAGCGAGTGTTGCACTAGCCTACTAAAATTGCAAGCCACCTACCACAATTCTAGTTTCTATAGTCTTTATCCACACAATGACTATGTCACTACACTAAGCTAGTGTGCTCTCAAAGGCTAACTAAGAGCCACCCCAACCAAACTAACAAGTTCTCACGACTAGCTATACTAAAGAACTTAACAACTAGTTTGCGGTAATGTAAAGAGAGAGAGAGCAAGATGGTTATACCGCCGAGTCGAGGAATGAACCAATCAATCACAAGAATGAATACCAATGAAGATCAATCACCTCGGAATCAAATGATGACATAATGATTTTTCATCGAAGTTCACTTGCTTGCCGGCAAGCTAGTCCTCGTTGTGGCGATTCACTCACTTGGAGGTTCACGCGCTAATTGGCATCACACGCCAAACCTTCAATAGGGTGCCGCACAACTAACACAAGATGAGGATCACACAAGCCACGAGCAATTTACTGGAGTACCTTTTGGCTCTCCGCCGGGGAAAGGTTAAGAACCCCTCACAATCACCGCGATCGGAGCTGGAGACAATCACCAACCTCCGCTCGACATCCTCGCTGCTCCAAGCCGTCTAGGTGGCGGCAACCACCAAGAGTAACAAGCGAATCTCGTAACGAAACACGAACACCAAGTGCCTCTAGATGCAAACACTCAAGCAATGCACTTGTATTCACTCCCAATCTCACAAAGATGATGAATCAATGATGGAGATGAGTGGGTGGGCTTTGGCTAAGCTCACAAGGTTGCTATGTCAATGCAAATGACCAAGAGGGTGAGCTTAAGCCGGCCAAACGATATTTATAGACACCCCCAAACAATAGAGTCGTTGGCTCAATTATTGGGCTGACCGCGGGACGACCGGACGCGCCGATCGTGTGCACCGGACATGTCCAGTCGCTGCGTCCGGTCGTAGCCTGACCACCACGTGTCCCTTTCAAATTGTTTAGCCATTCGCGCCCAACGACTAATACTATGTGATCGGACGCGCTGTTAGAAATCGACCGGATGCGGGAGACGCAGCGTCCGGTCGAGTCCAGAGAACTTCCAGAGCCGCTCTGGGCCGACCGGACGCGTCCGGTCACACCGGACCGGACGCGGGAGACGCAGCGTCCGGTCGAGTCCAGAGAGCTCCCAGAGCCGCTCTTGGCCAACCGGACGCTCCCAGCGTCTGATCAATTTTACGCTGAAAACCTGAGACTTGCTAGTTCACACCGGACGCGTCCGGTCGCTCTCTGCAATCCAGCTTCGGTCTAAATCACTTTGACCTGACGCTGAACAGTAACTCGTCAGCGTTCGGTCACTCCACTGAGCCAGAGTCCGGTCACCACGGCAACTCTGCCCGTGCCTGGCTAGAATACCGGACGCGTCCGGTCACATCAGGAACACTGCCGCTGAGACAGTACCGGACACGTTCGGTACACATGTCGGACGCGTCCGGTCACCCCGTGACCAGCGCAATCAACTCCTTTTCAACTCTATCTTCTTTACCCTTGCTTAAATGTGTCAACCACCAAGTGTATCACCTTATGCACAAGTGTTAGCATATTTTCACAAATGTTTTCAAGGGTGTTAGCACTCTACTAGATCCTAAATGCATATGCAATGAGTTATAGCATCTAGTGGCACTTTGATAACCGCATTTCGATACGAGTTTTACCCCTCTTAATAGTACAGCTATCGATCCTAAATGTGATCACACTCACTAAGTGTCTCGACCACCAAAACAAAAAAGCTCCTATCAAGTTTCACCTTTGCCTTGAGCTTTTTGTTTTTCTCTTTCTTCTTTTTCAAGTCCAAGCATTTGATCATCACCATGCCATCACCATCATCATGATTTTCACAATTGCTTCATCACTTGGAGTAGTGCTACCTATCTCATAATCACTTTGATAGACTAGGTTAGCACTTAGAGTTTCATCAATTTACCAAAACCAAACTAGAGCTTTCAACATGCCGCTGCCATGGGGACGTGACCCCGGCCGCACCTCGCCGCCACCGCGAAGACGCACATCTAGCCGCGCGCACCGCCGCAACCCAAGCCACACGCCTCCGACTCCTCTGTTCGCGTGGTGCTGAGAGTGAGCAAATGACGGCCGAGAGGGATACAGGGAGGAGAATAAGAGAGTGTAAGGTGGGATTTTGTTTATATGCCTAGGTTTTCTAGATCCAACGGTGACAAATGCTCTAAATGAATCCAACAGCTAAGAATAATCGGGCTGCATCGTGCTGGCCCAATTTCCGTGCCGTGCCCGTGCCGGCACTGCGGGCCGGACCTGCGGCCCAGGCACGACCCTAGATCGTGCTCGTGCCGGCACTGGCACTATAGCTTCGTGCTCGGGCCATGCTAGTGTCGTGCTTTTTCGGGCCGGGCCCGTGCTGGCCCATCATGCTTGGCCCATTTGGGCATCTATAGCCCTGAGTATCGGCTGCAGTTGCTCTATGTTGGAAATAAAATATCTGACTATAAATTCCAGATTTTCTTTGCCAGAGTACAACTATGCCAAGAAGGATAAGTTTGACTATGATTAGTTTTCACTTCTCTTCATGTATAGAAGCTACTAATGGAGCCAGATAACTTAATGTGTGTAAAAGCATAATGTTTGCACCATAAAATTAGCTATTTTTTTTAATATTGTTTCTTTCTTATCATTTTTATCGCCTGTAATTCTTCAATGGTTTTATATTTAATATTAATATGATATAAATATTGTTAAATTGTTACAATAGCAACTGATGACGAGGTGTTTGTTTCCTGCAGATTTTTTTCATATTTGCTTCGTAAGTTTACTAACACTTGCTTATGCCATAACAGAGGGCGCAAATGGAATCCTCTTAGGCAGAGGTTAGATAGTTATGACTACACAGTTGAACAGCACGTGGTTGGTTCCCTGCTGTTTACACCAGTCCTACTTCTTATACCTACAACTTCTGTATTCTATGTATTCTTCTCTATCTTGACAACAACGGTTATCTGGGTCTGTGTGATGCTGGAAATTGTCATCGCTGTAATCCAATCCACTCCTTATGCTGAGTTAACTCTATGGGTGATGAGGAGGCACAGATTTCCTGCTGGGTTATTTTTCCTTCATGTGCCATCAAGTGGACATACTTCTGAAGATGGCAACCTATCAGCGCATCCAATCGGATGTTGCAATGAAAGGAGAAAGGAGGATCTCATCGACAAACTATCAGAATCATTAGTTTCAGAACTTCATTGCAGCTATGGCACTCTGGGTAAAATGTTTCTCTTGACTTTTGCTTAGACCATTCCTAGTTGAATGGTTGATACATTCTTTGTTGGATACCTAATTTTATAATAAATGTCAGCAGCAACATGTCCATGTCGTTCTACATGCCTAGTTTCTGTTTATTTGAATCATATATATGTTAAGACGTGTAGTTTACAACAAACTGAAGCCAAAATATACATAGCTTGCGCAACTTTCAAATAGTTCTATTTTGCGGCCTAGCTTTTATGTTCATATCACCAATAGTGTGCTTACTTTTTGTCAATAGAATGCATCTTGCAGAGGCACTAGCTTGCAGTTGCTTTTTTGCTGTTCCACTTGCTGGTAATCTTCCTAACATAAAGGATGATATGTGCAGTTCAAGTAATCAGATCAAATTACGAGAGAGTTTTCAACAGGACTGGTTACTCATTTTGCAAACAATTGGCATATGGGATCCTTCGTAGTGAAAGGTATAGCACAATCTATCAGTTTGATTTTTACCCTTTTGATGGCATCTGTTTTAAACTCCTGTGTTTCTTTGTTCAGGGTGCCTTCATCGCTGCATCTGCAGCCGTCTCCCTCATTTCCCTGGATGAACATTGATGTTACAGAGTATTGGATGCAGTGCTATGTTTGTGTCCTTCAGTGTGCACCAAAGAGGTGATTCAATGAAGTTTTGCATTAGCCTTATGTTTTTATTGCTTAGTTAGCAACATGATGAAAATTTGTTGTCCCATCTTTTATTCAACACTTCTATGGCAAAAATAGTAATTTTTTACCGCATGCCACCAAATTTTTATCTGGCCATGCTCGTCTTTATATGAAGCTTTACTTCATCATCCTCATCATCTATAATGATGCATTTAGATTTGCATCTTACCCAATAAGTTTGATCAGGTCTATAGAGAAGATGTATTTATGACACCAAATAAGCATAGTATGAAATATGTTTCGTGATGACTAATGATACTTATCTTGTATTGTAAATAACTAAATCTGAATACTTTTTATGTAAACTTAGTCAGATTTTAGATGATTTGATTTAGGGCAAACTAGAATGACTTTCTTTTTGGAAGGGATGGAGTACTCAGCTGTCAACCTTCATGCATGCATCAGCTTTTATACGACCAGAGCTGTCCCATTTGAGCTGATCCATTTTATCATATGACTGTCATACATTCCATTTCTTGTTATAGTTTTGATTTACAGTTTGGATTTACGAACAAGACCTCACCAATTGCTGATGTTTTCAGAGATCCATGATGATTGCATTTGAATGAACCTTGGTTCTTTTCTGCGGTTTTGGTTTCAATAGAGGTTTTTTTACTTGAGTACTTGACACTTGTGTGCTGGCTGTGTTTTCATGAAAGAAACTGAATATCAGCTAGACTGACGGGTGAGAGAAAAGGACTCATGCTCTGCTGCAAAGATGCCTCAGTCAAACCTCATTGTTGCTTCACGATAATAGCTTCTGCACGTGGCGGGTAGCTGGCATGCTGGAACCCATGGTAGCAGGATGTTTTCTTTTCAAGTATTTGGGGCTTACCCAAAAGGCCGAGTACCTTTAGAAGTTTAGCTTGATATACTATGCATTAGTGATATTTTCGACAATGAACACGAGTCGAGAAGTCTAGCGTTCTAGTGAGCTGGCCAATGTAAATTAGTGTTTCACGGGAGATTGTCTACATCACATATGCAGTTTTTTTTTCCACACAAAAGCTGCAGTGAACATGCATTTAGATTTTTATTAAACTCTTAAAATGCACTCTTATGGTTTTTGAACTTCTTTGAAAGTCTCATACAAGTCCCAAACCCTAAAAGGTGAGGAAGCGGGCGCAGGCGTTGCGACCACCAACACCTCCAACTTCCGCGCCATGGTGAAGGAGTTCACCGGCATCGCTGTCCCGCCATCTGTCGGTGGTGCGACCGATCACTCCCGCTTCGACCACCTCTTCCCTTTACTCGCCACCACCGCTACCGCAAGGACCTGGAGCTCCACCACGTTCCTGCAGTACCTCCTACCGGCGAGGATGAAACTAGTCCTCAGGCGAAGGTAAGTTATGTCCAGGGGGTGCCAATGCACCACCCAAAAAAATGTAAAAACAGTGAGTTTGATTAAATTTTTACCATATATGCACTCTCTATTAGGCTTGTTTATACACCCACAAGGCCAATGCACTACTCTCTAATTTCCTCTAGCTTCGCCACTGGTCCTCTGTTGAGCAGGGGGAGAGAGAAGGGCGGAGTCATAGGGAGAAAGATGACCGTAGGGGCAATATGGTCTACGGACCAATTGTGTAAAAAAACCTTTATACATACTTCAAACTATATTTCTACTTTCAAAACATAGTGGAACTACATCGATTGAATTGAGTGGCAAGAACAGAGAAACCCCATCGAGTGAGATTTATGTGTCATGTAGGCCATTTTATCTCTTCCTTGATTTGTTTTGGCTCTGAAGTGCTTTTTTTTCATGTGTCATGTACTCATAAAATTTCTGAAAATTCTTCTACTATATTAGACTCAAACTTTGTCCAAATCTCACATACCATTGGGTGTGTCTATGATATATGTAGACATGCATAATGTTATAGACTTAACATGTGCCGATGAGGAACTAATTCTTCAAAGTACGTTGTTACAGGTTTCCTAATAAAAATAAGTAATCTCTGTCTCTGTCTCTATCTCTACAACTAAAATATACGGATTATCAATATCTACCCAGCAGGAACAAAACACTCATGCGATCCATATCCGACAGACAAATAATCACCGCATGGAGACACTGGAAGACAAATAAATAAAATGGAATAAAACTCACGGAATCACGGGCACGCAAATAATCACCGCATGGAGATACTGGAAGACAAGTAAATAAAATAGAATAAAATAGAAAGAGAATTATGGGAAGAGAAAGAAATTTATTGGAATATCACCACGCAATGATCATGATCGTGATCCAAATCTCGTTCGTTGTCCTTCACGTTGCGTGTTGACAACAAATATTTTTTTTCCAAAAAATAAATTATTGCCGTGCCTCATGCGGGCTAGGATATTGTAAGTCTGAGTATACAAGTTTTGGCAAGACAGAGCATGGATAAATTCAATTTGATGTCTAGCAATAAATTTTCAGCCTTTGAGTCAACTGATGTTTGTCGTAACTTTCAGACAACAAGCTCCAAGCCTAACTTTTATTTCAGATTCATTGCGATAATGAATGTGTTTCTAGACATTATCATGGTATAATACACGTGAAAAATTAAATTGATATATTTTTGATTTTAACTTAGCTAACAAATATCTCATTCAATTTATGTTCACGGCTGCTCATCTAGTTAGTAAAAAAAAAGTAAGCGCTCGGGCTAGGCTATCGTCGTGTAGCCGTACAGCTCGAACCAGACTCACTGGAAACACGGAACATTTTGGTTCTCGTGGCTAGGTCCGACAAATGCAATTAAGGTGCACACTACATCATTACGCATCAAGGAATATTATGTCTAGCCCTAGCTACCAAATAATTTCTCAACGGATTTAGAAACCACGGAAGTAAATAACCAAACGCTTGCACCTACACCCATATAGGCAGGTTGAGAGTTACGGGTCAGGCTAGGAGAGCGAATCACGCCCACAGGTTGTGATCGGTTTCAAGTCGAGCCTAGCCTGCCTAGCATATGGGAACCAAACCCTCACTAGCCCAGCTAAGTCCGTGAGACAGGTTCAACCTAGACTGGTCGAGAGTTAAGAACTTATGAGTCAGTTTAGGAGTATTCAAGTAGCGAATCACGCCCGAGCATAGCCTGGCTAGCATATGGGAACCAAGCCCTCGCTAGCCTGGCTAAGTCCGTGCAAGGCGTGTTTGGTTCCCTGATTGCATCCTAGTCTAACTGTCCAACTAAGCTCTAGCCTATTGTTTGGTTGTCCAGCTGTGTTGTTCACACGTCAAGTGAGTGGTGGTTCCCCTATGTTCATACCAGTACACCACGAACCAGGCGAGCCAGGCTCCACGGAAAACGAAAAAATTTTCCGCAACATGCGAGCTAGCATATGGCGCGTGGACGATGTTGTTTGGTTGCCCAGCTGTGTTCATCACACGTCAATTGGGTCCCCTATGTTCACGTCGTGCACCACGAGAGCCAGGCTAGGGCTACGGTTTTGCATCACGGGCTAGGTCTAGGGCCTATTTCAGGCATCCAATTACGACGGACTGCTTGCATACTACCCAACCAATTATACCCATATAAGCAATGAACAAGTGAAGGCACGCGTAGTTTGGTTTTTACATTGATTTTCTTGCTTTACTTGAGTCATAGAATTTTTGGTAGCGAAGGCTAAAAAACCCCACTCTAGCATACTACCTATTTCGCCACCTAAATTTGTTAGCCCCTACTTCTCCTCTCCAACTACCTACTTCTGTTGACCCAACACATGAGCACCTAAAATTCTTTTCCGCCGTTTGCAACTCGCGCTCATCTGTCGTGGCTCGCTCGCGGCTTCTCCCCTGCTGTTGCCCCAAGGAAGCCCGTTGTCGTGCCCTTCCTAGACCTCGACGGTGACATCTCAAAGCTAATGGCGGATGGATCCGGCCACCCCTAGCCATTCCCTGCCTCCACGACCGCCGCACGGCTCCTCGCCACATCTTCCCTGGCCGCTCATCGTCTTCCCCTACCGGAGCCCGTCTCCTACTCCCTAGCCACAGGGAGCACTCGACGACCGGTTCCGGCGAGGGTAGATCCGGCGCTTCCCCGGTGGTGTGGACGCCGCAGCGGCGGCCCTCTCCCCCGAGCGCTCGAGATGGCGATGAGGGAAGGAAGAAGACATGTGGGTCCACATGTCATTGACTTTAGAATGAACTTGAGGGCCATAGTTTAGATAGTATTGCTAGAGTTGAAAGCAAAAATATAGATAGTATCAAAATGGATTGCTATACAAACATGCAAGTAGGGGTATGTTTTAGATAGCATTAGAGATGCTCTTATGCTGAGAGAATGGCTGTAAATACGTCGACCATCGGTATACTTCGCACCTTCATAGATGTAGCTCGTATCTTGAGAAATTTGAGCGCATGGGCCCCACAGAGCAAAGCATAGATGGCACTGCATGGACCCGAAAAAATTAGGTGGATATATAATATGCATAGAGATTCAGTGCGACCATCCATGATATGCTGTCACGTGTATACAAATAAAATAATCAAACGTCTATGGTCTTTCTCTATCTACTTGTATGGATCCGTGATTGACTCGCCCCGTGTAGAACCACGAGTCTGATGTGTGCCGTTGGATCACGAGACGAGGTCTACAACGAGCGTGTTCGTTGGTTCCATAAGCCGCTTATGTTGATTTGTACGGCTAATTTATTATGAGAAAAAAATACTATATATTAACTGATAAGCCCTGACTGAAATTAACAAGCGAACAGGCTGAACATATATAAAGCGAACAGGCTGAACATATATACAGAAGAGGCCGGTGTATTTTGTATGCATCCAATTTACCTTGCTACATAAGACGTGGCATGGAGCACGGTTTGTACACGTCATGCGTGCATGCAGGGCCCCACATGTCATGGAGGCAGAGCCTCCACCAACATGCGCATGCATGTCACGTGACCCGCGCCAGCGGCGGCGAAATGATCACTTTTTTCAGATATAGAGAGCCTTGTAGTTGTAGTATAGTAGCAGTACTACTACTCCATTAATTATGCAACTGCAGCAGAGATTAAACCTGTTAATTACAGTTGAGCCCTCCCTCTTCAGTCCCCTCTGCGACCATGCATAAACCCTGTTTCTCGAGTATATAAAAACGCAACATTATGGATCTCATTTTTTTTGCAACATCCCTTTTTTTTAACTGCTATATAAGTAGTATATACTCTATAAATTAGTGCGTCTGAATAGTATCAATCAGCTGATCAGCAGCAGCAGAAGTGAGGCCAGCTACATCAACCTCAGCTGCTGCGGCTGCCTGCCACCTTGATATGGCGCGCAGAAGAGCTCCATCTGCGGCGGCCGTGGTGGCGACGTCAACGCCGGGGGAGCAAGCATGCCCATCGGCCGCAGCGATGACGAAATGCCGTGCCACGCCGCTGCCGCCGCCGACACCGACGCCGGGGAATGCGTAGCGTCCGGCCTCGCCTGGTACTGCGACACAAGGTACTGCCACATCATCTGCTGCTGCTGCTGCGTCGGCATGAGTTGCTGCAGCTGCTTCGTCATCATCGCCGACGAGGTCGCGGCGGGGAGGCTGGCGCGCGGGCCGTACCCAGGGCTGCACACGTACTGTTGTGGCATCTGCGAGTCCACCCCAGAGACGAGACAAGCCGCCATCGTTCAGACGCCATTTGAATTGAACCGCAACGCAATGCAGAAGCCAAGAAACCAGAAGCAATGGTGCAGTGATGACAGGAAAAAAAAAAGAACTACCTGCTGAAGCGCCGCGGCGTGTCCCAGACTACCCGTGCTGTAAGGGAGGTGCGGGAACGGGTACGGCATCGCGTCCCGCGGCGGCGGCGGCGGCGGCGGCCGCGGCACCATCTGATGGTGCAGGTACTGGACATGCTGTGCCGTCGCCGGTAGCGCCGACGATGCCGTGGCGGGCAGGTTCTGCCAGGAACCACCACTGACCTGAAACATGCAGCGGCACAGCAACGGCTTCGGTTAGACAAGAGTTCAGAGCAGCTCAGTTACTGGTAGCAGCTTTCACAAACATGATCAACGGTAGCCAAGCTCTAGTGTCTGTTGCGCTCACAATCTTCTGTCGGCTGGCGCCCACGTCGCAGATGCCAGTGGATGACTGCTGGTGAGCCGGGACGCTCATGTCGTAGTGCACCGTGTAGAACTTCTCGTCCCGCGTGGCGGCGGCGGTCTTGTGCGAGGTGGTGAAGCCACCGTTCGGAGGCCTCGAGCAGCGGGCGAGGGGTCTCTCCTCAGGCTTCGCTTGGATTTGTGACGAAGAAGCGGTGGCCTTCTCCTTGTTCACGTGCATCTGGATCACATGGCTCACGTACACATGGGTGATGCTTCTCTTCCATGCCTTTGGCGCACCCACGTTTTTCACCAGAGGGTGCTGCAGACAACAGCGTTGCATCCGTCAGCTAGATAAAAAAATATTCAGTTTTCTCAGTAGCTTGGCCAAAACCGTTTTGGATTAGATGAATTTTAGCGATCAACCAGATGATATTTCTGTTGCATTTGCTGAATAAGCAAGTTAAGAACGTAGGCAAAGAATGAAGTAGATAGCACCTGCCTTGTTCTGATTTCCAGGTGCGGTGAAGTTTGTGGATTCAGAAATTGTATTGGCGCGAGCTGCCAGTTTGCTTGAAGAGGGCCTGGGAACAGTCATACATTTATCATCTTCTTAAAAACCCAACTAATAATGTCTTCATAGGAAAAGAAAATATGTAACTAGTTTAAACAGAAACTTACTTTATTAAGTACCCAGCTGGGGTACAAGGCAATGGAGTCTGAACCAGAGGTGCAATTTCTGATAGAAGTAGTGGCAACATATTAGCAGATAAGTAACAAAAAAAAGTTTTTAGTCTAATGAACTTCAGCTGTTCTGGCGTTCTAGATTTGTAGGAGTACCTTGTGCACTGTTGTTCTTGGCATTTTCCCTCTCATGTGGCACACCCTCAGATTTATCAGAATTTACCTGTAGAAAAAACATATTTGAGGGAACCATGAAGCATTAGGACCAAATGAAGGTGTGGTTACACCTGTACTTTCAGAAAGATAACAGTGCAGTACCGGCCAAAGAGGAGCCTCTGGCTTCTGTGCAGGGTAACATTTGCTATCATCAAACTGCACTTTCTGCTGCTTTTGCGTGCTACAAACAGAAATAAACATGAGAATGCAGTTTAAAAAGGACAAGATTAGCGACCAAAGGGCTTCCATGAGCAGTTCTCTACCTGTTATTGGAGGTGTCTTTAGATGGGCTTGGCAAATTCACAGCAGTTCCCATAGAAAGGTCCTGTATTTGCTCGGTTGCTGACAAAGGTGGGGTTTTGTTGCTGGATTGATCTGTAGTGCCAGCCACTGGATTTACATTTGGAACGATATTCGTTTGTTCCACCACTTTATCTATGCAGGCACTTTGGTTAGCCAGTTCGTTAGCAGCACTTGGCAGTACGACTGTTTGGTCACCCTCCTTAGTAGGTCCTGCATGGACAATCACACAAGGACTATGAACATTTTCTAAAATCACAATACTTCCTTTTTAGTATGATAATCAGAAAAGACAAGAGTGCAGACAAACCTTTTGAATAAGAAGTTGAAGCAACATTTGTGTTTGAACTATCTGCTATAGCCTTGTCGGCTGTGAGCTCACTATGAAAGGGTACTTGAGATAGAGACAGCAAAACATCAGCAATTGCTTCCTCTTGTTCTGTAAACAACTGTAAACAGAATGTGCATCTCACTACCAGTTTTCAGTTTTGCGTCAAGAGAAAACAGAGGAAATTGTAGCAGCAGAAAAGTATTTACAGAGCTTCCATTGGATCTTGTTTCCTGGTCTACAAATGAAATTTGAGCACTGATAGCCGAAAGATGACGCCTCTTTTTGACATGACGTGATGATGCAGAAGCAAATCGACCGGCTCGCTTGTTTATGGCTGAAAGTAGGATGCCAAAAGTTGAAATACCATCTAAGCTTAAAACCCACAAATGAAACTACTCATCCAATATGCCATCCTCACAACTCAGAATCAACTGCTTCCTATTAATTAATTACACGATGCCATCTGTGGATAAAACAGAACACTTGGAAAGAAATTCAAGTACCCACAAACACATAACCACCAAGGTTTCAGGTGATCACTATCAATTGTTCCCTGTCTAACAATAACAACATTAACAAGTTTCTCCAACCCAGCGTTAAACCATATTGTTAACTTCAATTTTAGTTCACAAAAAAATGTCAACTTAAAATTAATGGTATTTCGATTGAGCTGTCTTACATTAGTGTGGCTATATGTGAATCGCAGAGGTAATCTCTTGCAATTGTATTCTTGAATCCCATGCGAATACTACACTTATTTTGGTGCTGCACTATTTTTATTTTTTATTTTTATTATATAGATAAGTGCAGAAGGGCGGGCCTGGTGCAAGCGGTAGAGTCTTACCGCCTGTGACCGGAAGGTCCCGGGTTCGAGTCGCGGTCTCCTCGCATTGCACAGGCAAGGGTAAGGCTTGCCACTGACACCCTTCCCCAGACCCCGCACAAAGCGGGAGCTCTCTGCACTGGGTACGCCCTTTTATTTGTCAAGTATACTGTAATTAAAAAATAACAATGGACGAGGAAGCCGAATTCCCTTTGCTCTGACCATGCGGAAGAATAAATAGTGCGGTTAATTGGTACCTGATCTTAATTTTCTTGGAACTGGAGGATCGACAGCATCACACCGCTCAGCCACCTTTGAAATAGAAAGAATGAGCTCAAAGATGCGCATAACGAACAGAAAGCAAATGATTGAACACGGACATGGTAAAAGGCAGGAAAGATACCTTCCCAAGGGTCCTCACTCTTTTCCAACTAACCAGGCCGCTGAAGCTGGCTGTAGACAGTGAGCAGAGTACTGCATCATCACAGACCTGATCAGATCCCCCCGCCTCTACCTTGCTGTTCATGTCGCCGTTGCTTGATCTCCACTTGAAGGTCTTAGCCTTCAGTTTCTTCTGCCTCAATGCTGCCTTGTGATCTCCACCTTTTCTCTCCTTCCCGTTACAACCTGGAGACAAACAATATGCAACAGCAATTAGCGTTACAAATCATGGCGCGGTAATTTAACGGTTAAAACAGCTAGGCACAGTTTTACAAATTGCTTTTCTATAAAAACAAGAAACGAGCGACAGTTGATGCCATCTGGTCTTTTGGAAATGATAGTAATCTGAAAAGTTCAGAATCAAAAAACTTTTACACTAATAAAAAAACTCGAAAGCAGTACATACAGCGGATCACGCAGGGGAAAAAAACTATATGATTGCGGTGCCAAAAAACATTGAAACAATTTAAAAAGATTTTTTTGGAACGACAGTGCCAAAAATCTGAAAAGTTGGAGAGAAGAGCTCTAAAAGCTCTCCATGTTCCATGAAGGGAGCCACAAGCAGCATCTGTGAAAAGGACAAGAAGCTGAAAACGAAGGCTTTCAAGGGTCGCCTTGCGTGCATATCTATCTACACGTAGGCAGTAGGTGACAAGCGAGCGTTACGACCCAAGGCAGCCAGCCAGCATCACCGTATCTCGGGAAATTTCTTCACGAAAACCTTCACCCAAACTAACCATCCAAAACCAGGAAAAATCTGGGGCGCTCCACAGAAAAGAAAGGCTTCAATCTTGTGGCCAGGGGATCGCTACACGTCAGGGCGAAAGGAGCACAGGCCATGAACTCAAGATGGCAAGCTCCATCCATCCTACGGTTTACGCTTACAGCTAACTTTAACTTCCCAAAATTTAAGTTCATTGAAATTTTTAGATCGTCTATCTAAGAGGATGAGGAAATTTGAGAAAATCAGTTAGTACTAGTAGTGGCTAGTAGACAAATGCTGTGGTGGTCTCCAGCACGACCCCTAGTACATGATAGTACGAGCTGCAGCCAATGCTGCTGCAGAGTCATAGATAGCTCACAGTCCTGTTCAGTCTCGTCTGAAGCCTGAACCAATAATAAAAGGAGGAGATTTCTCGAAGGGGGAAAAAAGAAGAGAGAGATATAGTAGGACCTTTAAAACCAATCACAAGAACACACACTATTTCAAGGTGGTCTGTGGGCCCAGCGTCTCCACCGGGTGAGGAAAAGAGACCAGAAAAGTTTTGGGCCTGTTTAGATTGTAAATTTTTGCAACATAGATACCGTAGCACGTTTCGTTTATATTTGATAAACTTTGTTTGATTATGGACTAACTAGGCTCAAAAGATCCGTCTAGTGATTTACAACCAAACTATATAATTAGTTATTTTTTTATCTACATTAATGCTTCATACGTGCGTATAAAAATTGATGTGACGGAGAGAGTAAAAAAACTTAGAATTTGGATGCAATCTAAAAGGCCTTGATCTTTTGAGGAGGAGCGCGCATTAGGAGAAAGATAAGGGGCATTTTGGGGACGACGACTACAGAGATGGAACAGCCGCCGGGTTAGAGCACTGTGACCATCTGCTACTGCTCTGAACATCGGCCGGCCGGGGAGAGAGGGATAGAGAGAGAGAAGCACCAATAGAACAGCACGCAACGCGACACAACACAACACATACCAGCGGCAGCAGTTGGAGGAGGAGACGAGGTGGAGGAGGTGGAGCCACTCCCTATCGCGTGTCTCCTTGCGAGCTGCTGACGCCCAACCACCGGCTTCTGCTTCTCCCTCTTCTCCATATCGACCACCCAGAAAGTTTCACTCACCGCTAGCTAGTCCTAGGCTAGTCTATCTCCAAAAGATCTCACAGTGCTCTCTCTCTCTCTCTCTCTCTCTGTGTTGTCTTCACTCTACACGGACTCGGGGAGAAGGAATGCAGCGAGAAGAGGAAGAGGAGGAGGAGGAGGAGAGGAGATGAGGCATGGACGGATAGACATGCACATGCTTAACTTAGGGCAAAGTGAACGGCAGCTATTTATAGGACTGCTGTGACTGGGACAAGGAGACAAGCATCCAGAGCCCAGCAGTACTACTCCGTACACTCGAAGCAAAGTAAGGCAGCAGCGGCAGGGAAAAGATAGGATAGATAGGAGGAAGAAAAGAAAAGAAAAAAACATGCTGCTGGCTGCTGCTGCTTGGTCAGTTAGTCCTATGATGAATGCCGAGGAATCAGATGCCGGGAAAGTGTGATGAGGGCATTGCAAAAGGCAGCAGGCTGGGCGAAATGGAAGGAAAGCGGACGGACGGGGAATTTCTTTTATTTTCTGTGGTGGTGTTTGCTGCCTGAAAACGATTCATGGATCTTTATTAGACGACCCACCCCGTCCAACCCCCCCACACAAAGGAGAGGGAGTGCATTTCTAAACCTTTATCCAGATCCAAAATATAAAATCTTTTTGTTTCCCAAACTATTATATAGGCAGAAAAGAGGCAAAACAAAATCAGATTTTTTTTTTTGGTTTCTTTCTTTCTTCAAGGATCAGATGATGATAGCTTCTAGTATTAACTACACGCCCATATCTTTACCCAACCAGAAGGAAGGAGACGATAGATGCTAGCTTTACTACTAGTTGGGAGGACAGAGACACAGAGTTCATCATCCCAGGCATGCAACACCAGAAATGGTTGGTTCGGTAGATTACATAGTAACCGCCGAATTAATCCTGGTCCTGGGCCGGGAGAGGAGATGCCCGAGGTCCCCATCTCATGATCCCAGGCATGCAACAAAGCTCGAGTAACTAAAAAAATCACAAAACAAGACGAGAAAACAGGAGCAAAACTGAAGTGATAAGATAACAGCAAGAACCCAAGAAAAGGAAAGGAGACGGCTGCGCCTGCGACTGCGAGAGAGAACCGTCGCTTGGAATCCGCAGGCCGCAGCCATAAAACCGTAACGTAACACAGCATCGCAAGAAACACAGCAGAGCAGAGTCGTCGTTGCAGGAGAAGACGCGACGCGGCGCAGAGCAAAAGCCCGAAAAACCGGAGCTTTCCGCACACAATCCTCCAAAAGCTGGAAACGCACGGTCGCACGGAAACGGAACGGGAGTGCACGGGGCTTACCTCCGATCTGCATCTCCTCGACTCGAGTGGTTGCCGCAACAGCGGCGGCGGCGGGAAGAACGGCGGCGGCGTAGCAGGGGAGGGAGCAAACACGGGCGGCCGGCGGCGCGGGAGGGCGCGAGCGGCATGCGACGCCGAGAGCCGCGCGCGGGTGGGGTGGGGGCGGCGGTTGGGTGCTCTGCGGGAGAGGATGAGATGGAACTATGGGAGCAGGAGGAAGGGAAGGGGAGAGGGTGAGTGAGTGGAGTGGTAAATGCGAGGTGAGGACAGGGGGGAGCAAGCAGCGGCTGGCAGGCAGCCGGCTGCACGGCCGAATTTTTTATTTTTCAGTCTTTTTTCTAAAAGATTTTTACAAATACACCTTTAACAATATTTTTTTTAAAAATAGATCTGGACTTCGGCAGCGTAACAATTGGCGTCGAGCTTACGCGTCTCGACGCCAATTGCTTTAGCGCCGAGGTCTAGGGTCATTTTCTGTCGTTGACGTGGTTGTTTGCGTAGCGTGGACGAGGCATGAGCTCGACGCCGTGGATCTTGGCGCCTAACTCGGTGCCTAGATCTTGGCGCCGAGCTCGACGTCATATTTTCTGGCGTCGACCTTGGTGCCGCTTTCTCTGGCGCCAACCTGCCTGACATGGCTAGGCCTAACGTGCATGCCTCCGCCGGAGTACTATTATGTCTGCAGTAGAGCCATATTCTGGTAGACTAGAAGGAGTAGTACTAGCCTGATAGACTGTACGAGTACTAGCTCGTGAATGAATGCACAAAAGGAGGAACGCCATGCATTATCTGGACTCACATCCACATGCGGTTCACAGCAATTTTGAGCTATAGTGTGGACAGTAGCAAGCTGTAGCAGCAAATTTTCACTTTCTTTTTTTTAAACAAGCAACTTTGACCGAACAACGCACATGTAATAGTCAGAGAAACAGTAGCCCTTTAGAGTAGTACTCTGTCCTAAAAAATAATACAATTCTCGACTTTCAGAGGAGTCAAATAATTTTAACTTTGATCAAAATTATACAAAAAATACTAACATTTTTAATACAAAATAAGTATCAATAGATTAGTGATGGAATATATTTTTGGAATAAAACTTATTTCAGACATAAATGTTAATACTAATCACTGCAAACTTAGGCCCTGTTAGCTTGAACTCGTCTATGGTACAATGTTTTTCTCTCGCACAACAAATCAGCGAACAATATTTTTCAGTCTGACTTTTCATCTAGGTGAACAGGACCTTGGTCAAATTTTAGACAAATTGACCGGCACGAATCCCATATGTAAGGGAAATAGACCCTAGACCTATTTACTCTGGATTTTGATGTTTGATGACCAACAGAACCAAATTAGACTAATGGATTTGCAAGTAATTGTTTTGTAGTTCAATATGATGAAAAACGTGACTTGGACGAAGGCGACGTGATGATTCGATGATCAACACCTCAAGAAAGACATTTGAAGATGCATAGAAGACATACAAGGTCAAGCAAAGTTCAAGCACGAAGATTGGAACCAAGCCGGACGTAAGATCGCGAAGAAACGAGCCCGGCAGAGGTGACCGGACGCGGCCCTATGAGTGACCGGATGCTCCGATCAAGTGCTAGGCAACACCAGACGTCGGCAGCTGTGACCGGACGCTGAGCGAAGCAGTGACCGAACGTACCGGTGACACTGTTCATCATCACGGCAGTATTTTTAGCGTGACCAGACGCAACAGACTAGATGACCGGACACACGAAGTGCAGCGTCCGATCGTTTTCAAAGGGGACAATTGTCTGTTGGACATCTAAAGTGATGGTCCTTTGCTAACAGACACCCACTTTAGAGCATTTTGCCAGAAGACACTCTGGTTTGGTGAAATTAGGCCATAGAACACCGCTGTAGGGTCGAGATGGCGGACTAGAGGGGGGTGAATAGTCCTTTCTAAAATTAATCGCGTCGGCTAAGCGAAACAAGTGCGGAATTAAAACAATTGATCTAGCCAAGACTACACCCCTCTATCTATGTTCTCTAGCATCTTACGAAGATCCTAATTAAGCAACTAAGGTGACAGGCTAGCTAGAGCTCACCTATCCAATTCTAGGAGCAAGGTTACATAAACACCTATGTCGCTAGTACTTTAAGCAACGAGGGAGCTCCTACACATGCTAGTAAGCAAAAGCACAACGCTACCTAAGCTCACTAGCAATGCTCAATAACAAGGCTACACAAGCTAAATTATAGAGCGCAAATTACTTAGCTACATAAACTAAGTAATGTGACTAACAAGGTTACACAAATCAAATTAGCCACGCAAGAGAGCTATTTCTATGCTTCACAAACAAGAAGGTAACTAGTGAGCTACACAAGCTAACTAATTACAAGAGCAACTACACAAGCACAATGTATATAAAAGTAACTACAAGCTTGTGTAAGGGGATTGCAAACCAATGGGAAGAACAATGTTGACATGATGATTTTCTCCCGAGATTCACGTGCTTGCCAACACGCTACGTCCCCGTTGTGTCGACCGCTCACTTAGTGGTTCGGCGGCTAATTAGCATCACCCGCTAAGCCCGCACGTCGAGCACCGTAAGAACTTACCCCAAAAGTGAGGGTATCTCAATGACACGCTCAATTAGAGTTGCTATTCGCAGCTTCCGCGGGGCGAGCACAATGACCCTCACAAAGCTCTTCTCCGAAGCACCACACAAGCTTCTTGCGGGTTTCGACGGAGACCACCACCAAGCCATCTAGGAGGTGGCTACCTCCAAGAGTAACAAGCATCATCAGCTTGCAAGACGACCACCTAGTGCCACTCGATGCAAACTCACAATACAATTGCACTAGAATCGCTCACTCACTTGATCGGATGAATACTATCAAGCTCAAGTGAGTTAAAGGGCTCCCAAACACTACCACATAAGCCACCAAGGCTCTAGTGTGCTCAGCAACCAGCCCAAGGCCGAGACCCCTTCTATTTATAGCCCCCACGAAAATAGAGTCGTTGTACCCCTTCACTAGGCACTACTCGGGGTGACCGGACGCTCCGGTCAGATCAACCGGACGCACCCTGCCAGCGTTCGGTCAACGGATGGCTGCCACATCATCCCTGGCTTCAAATATTGAGCGTCCGATCTCAATGGTTAAGTTGTGACCGGACACAGCACAGTGTATGACCGGACACAGGACCCCAGCGTTCGGTCATTTCCAGTAAGGTTCCACTCGCGACCGGACGCGTCAGTTTGAGCGCGACCGGACGTAGGACCCTAGCGTCCGGTCACTTCCAATAAGGTTCTAGAGACGCTCAACTGCGACCGAACGTGTCCGATCAGTCATGATCGGACGCAGCATCAGCGTCCGGTCCTTCGCCTTTTCTCTGCGTTGCCACGTCAGCAGGACCGGACGCACCCACCCAGCGTCCGGTCACGAAGTGACCCAGCGTCCGGTCGAAGACCGACGCCTGCGCCTTCACTACTACCACTGACCGGATGCAGGACCTCAGCGACCGGTCACTGCGTGATCAGCGTCTGGTGCACTCTGTGAAACCCTGTCTTTTCTGAACAGGACGCCGGTGGCACCGTCGAAAACTCCGCCGGTGAAGTTTTGAACCCTTTTCTTTACCGAGTTGATCCACATCAACTCCAATCTCTTCTCCTTTGTAAATGTGCCAATACCACCAAGTGTACAC